GCTTCCGATATCATAAAACGAAGGATATCACAGTCCCTGAAAAGATCATTCCCTGCCTTTACTAGTCGACTATTATTGTTTAATAATCTGAAGGATAAGATCCCGTTGTTGACCAACTCTACGTGCGTGTTTATCAATCCACCTGCTCGTGTGGAGCTAGGTATATCGGTCGTTCGACTCGAGTTTTGTCCAAGAGGGTGCAAGAGCACTATCCTGCATGGTTACGAAAAGGTGGAAGTGGGGCAATAAGAAGTGCGATCATTGAACATCTGGTCGATAATGATCATCCTATCTCTATAGCCTCCGCCTTCAAAGTCATCTACAAGGCGAAGAGTAATTTACCCAAATCCCTACGTACCCGACTCATCTGTATTGCTGAAGCTTTGGCTATTGAAACAGAAAAGCCAGATCTCTGTGTACAGAAAAAATTTTGTTCAACTCCTCCCCTCCAACTTTCATGGTCTTAATCTGTCTATGCTAAAGTATGATAATCCCCAATCATATTTTAGCTCTACCAATTTTTCATTTTTTCATTTTTGTCTATTCAATTTGTACACTCTTCCTTATTAAGTCAATTGTTACTATTACTTTTCTCACTTTTAAATGTCCCCAGTATTATTTCACTTGTTCCGCTTGCCATTCTAAATCAATCCTCTTTTTACAACGTTAAATTCTATGCTATCGAATTTCACACAATATTACGTAACGTTTTTATTTTATTCGATTTGTCTACTAATCTAATAATTGCACACACACCCCTACCAAGTTCTATCCATCCTATGAATTATTCTATATATGACATTAATTTGCTTTGCCACTTGACATTTAACTACGATTATAATCACAAACATTTTAGTTTTAATTGCATTTCATACTATTATTATCATTATCATTATTTTATGCATTCCCTCAGACCTGTGTTTCAATTCCCTCACCGGATATAACTTCTTAATGGAAAACCATGTATGTACGATTGTACAGCTTGATGATAAATTCGTTGTTGAAAAGAGTCTCTTCGCTGAATCACCACTTGTTTTGATTTTCTATATGTTACAATGGGAATTTTCCGTGACTTAGTGTCCAATCAAACGTTTCCGTTACACACTTCCATGAAATCAGTCGTGAGCTCAAGTAGCTCAGCAGTAACATCTCTGACTGTAGCAATGTCTGACCCGGGGTCAAGTTTTTTATGACGAGTGTCATAAAGCTCGAATCGAAGGTGGAAGGCTTCCTGCCGATCGCCTACAACCGTCTAACAAGAAGGCAGTGATAAAAGTTTCAATCTGTTCAGTGTTCCTAATAAGCATAATTTAACAGTTCCTAGTGTCTATTTGCAGTGTATTTAAGAACAAATTAACTAATTTTTTGAACTATTTTAACACTATAAAAAATTTTGATAGAAAATGGTAAGGAGACAAATGAAAAATTTCCGATGAATTTAATTCACATTATAGAGAAATAAAAGCCATACGCATAATAAGGCTTGAAGGAAGTAGCATTCATTATAATTCATGCAGTCTAAATGTCTACTGAGGGTTCATATCATTGCTAAGGAGTAAGCCAGAAAGGGTCAGTGCTGCATGGAAGTTCTAGGCAGAAAGAAGAGGCAGGAAATTCAGTGGCTCACTACGGACACTTGGAGACTAATAGAAGAGAGAAGGATGGTGAAACAAAAGATTATCCAGTGCACCGACGAGCAACAAAAACAGGATTTGAATGCAAACTACAAGACACTGAACAAAAGAGTAAAGAAGAGTGCCAGAGAAGACAAAAGAAAGTATTATGAAACCATGGCAAGAGAAGCAGAACAAGCTGCTGGCAAAGGAGACCTCGCGACACTCTGCCAAACTACTAGGTACCTATGGGGCAAAAGTTTGACTCAAATCAAGCCGGTGAAGGATGACAATGGAAAGTCACTCAACAAAGAAGTGGAGCAAAGGAAACACTGGGCTGAACACTTCAAAAGACTCCTAAATCAACCACCACCTACAACGCGCCCAACAATACCAACAACGAAGACAGAGCTACCAGTGAACACCAACCCCCCGACGAAATCAGAAGTCCTGAAGGCAATCAAGATGCTGAAAGCTGGAAAAGCAGCAGGACCAGATGGAATTCTAGCAGAAGCATTGAAAATGGACCCAGAGACAACAGCGGACTTGATGACGCCACTACTGGAGAAGGTGTGGAAAGAAGGCAAAGTCCGCTGAGATTGGAAGAAAGGATACTTATTCAAACTACCAAAGAAAGGAGACCTAAGTCAATGCAAGAACTGGCTCGGAATTATGCTCCTGTCCATCCCAAGCAAAATACTAAGACGCATCATCCTGGAGAGAAACAAACATGCCAACCTGGATGAAAAACTTCGACTGTAACAGGCTGGATTCAGGAGAAACAAGGCATGTATTGATTAGATCGCCACATTACGGATCATCATTGAACAAAGCTGCTTAGAATGGCAGTCACCTCTCTATCTCGCTCAACTTCATCGACTTTGAAAAGCATTTGACAGCGTCGATCGAGAGGTGCTTTGGAAACTACTTCACTACTACAAAGGGGTGCTACCGACAATTACACATCTCATCCAACAGTTAGTTGTACGACAATGCTGCATGCCAAGTAATCCACAACGGGAAACTTACGGAATCCCTCTGAGAAGTGAGGACAGGAGTAAAACAAGCTGGCTGTCTAATATTGCCAATGATTTTCCTGATTGCAGTAGATTGGATAATACGACAAACAGCGGGCAATGGGGAAACAAGCATAAAATGGGCCCACACCAAGAAAGAACTTGGGGGATCTGGACTTCGCCGATGACATATCTCTGATTGCACACAAACTGGAAGATATGCAAGTGAAAAGCAACAAGTTAGCAGAAGAAGCATCAAAGATAGGACTTCAAGTAGACATAGAGTAAACAAAGGTCGGTGATGAAGATTCCTGGCCAACAACACCAACAGTAACAACAATAACAGACAACAATAAACATAAATGGGAGGACTGTGGCAGTAAGTAATTCAATTAACATTCACTGTACTTAGAACACAAGATATAGATAGGTTTTTCGAACACATCAACTCGAAGGTTGAAGCAATTCAATTCACTTATGATGAATTGGAAAATCAGGAAGGGGAGCTCCCAATGTTAGATTGCAACGTAATGAGGAAAGAAGATGGAAAGTTAAACACACACTAGTGTTTACAGGAAACCCACGCACTCAAACAGATATTTAGATTTCCGATCGTCCCATCCTAAGTCAGTAAAAATAGGATTGGTGAAATGTTTAAATAACAGAGCACAAAAACTAAGTAGTACCAAAGAAAATCTAAAAGAAGAACTGATACACATAAAAGAAGCTTTGAAACTTGATAATTACCCGGATAAATTAGTCAGGAAATATGTAAGGAAATGTAAAAATAAAATAAGTAATGATAATAGCGATTGTTATAATAACAATACTAATGATAATAATAATAGTAGTGATAATAATAATAATATTACTGACGACACCAACAATAAGGAATCTAAATCATCATTAGTAATTCCATACAAGGAAGGAACCTCGGAAACCTTACGCAGAATTCTTAACAATGCAGGCATGAATAAAAATGGCATTCAAACCCCCAAACTCAATTAGAAACAAGCTTTGTCGGTTAAAGGATCCTGCCAGTGCAGTCTTTAAAACAAAACAATTCAGCTTATCTAATACCGTGACCTGCGATGATTGTCAGGTCAAATACATAGGTCGAACTAGTAGAACAGGGTCAGTGAGTCAGACTAGCCGAATATAAAACCCTAGCAGCAAAATCTAGATTGGTTGACCCGAATAAGATAAGAAATCTAGAGAATAGTTCAGCTATAGCACTACATGCAGTCACACACAACCATACAATAGGCTGGATTGGATCGGATGACAGTTTTAAAATCTAATGTCACAGGGTGGATGGAGGGAAAGATTGATAACGGAAGCTTTGTTTATCGAATCAACTACAAATACACGTAATAGGAATGATTCATCAAATGTCCACCCAGATATCTGGAAAATTCTACTACCCATACGAAAAATAGGAGAAAACAAAGAAAACTATAAAACTCAAGTGTCAAAGTCGTGTGATCACAATTGATATGATTATGAACAGTAATAAATTTTGTTCGAAACGTCATCCAGTAAATAATACTGTTTCACTGTGTGAGATACGTAATAAACCAACTAATATGGAATAAATGGGAGGAACCTGAAGGAAACAACCTCTTTTACCCACCCACCTACCTGGGAAGCATCGTCTCAACTACAAGTGTGTGGAACTGACGAGGATATCAAAGCAGCAAGTATCAGGAGAGCAAGACAAGCCTTCATTACTGTCAAGTCTGTGTGGAGGTCAACAGACAGCACTCAGCATCAAAAATAAAATCCGGATTTTCAACTCCAATGTGAAGTCAGTGCTACTATACGGATCAGAGATTTGGCACCGCGTCACGAAGGCCATTTCGAACAAACTACAGACCTTCATCAACAGCTAGTTGTCTTCGCTCAATACCACTCAAGATCAGATGGCCGGCCGGCCAGAAAAGATCAGCAACAGGCTGGGATCTCTGGCAATGAGTGAACCAACCAACACAGCAGGAACCGATTGTGGAACATATAGGCAGGAAGAAGTGGAGATGGATTGGATTGTGGCCATACTCTGAGGAAACAAACCATCAAGTGAGTGACATCACTAGACAAGCCATTGCTCGAGTGGAACCCGAAAGGGAAGCGGCGAGTTAGTTGGTCGTCAGTGCAAGGGTGAGGGTGACTTGGAGGAGGTGATGTGAAGAGGAGATGATGAAAGCATGTGGGCAGACTTGGAGCCAGGTGAAGACTCTAGCAGAGAACCGAGTGCAATGGAGACGCGTGGCTGAAGCCCTATGTTCCTCTAGGAATTAAAGGAAACAACAGTAAATAATAATTAATTATAAATTAAAGGATTACTTAAGATCACTTATTGACATCCACTTACAACTGGTCCTTCTGTTAGCATACTGATAACATCCAAATTAATTGTAAATGGTATTTGTCGTGCTGCAAGCTCTCGAAACCAATGAGTCGATAGTCTATTACGAAAATCTTGATTAAATGGTCCACTATAGGATAAAAATGCTGTACCGACTAATGAATCCCCGATAAGTTTATTCACTTGTTCACTTAATGTCCGAGTTTCTTCAGTCCAACGAACTTTTTCACCGGATAAACCATCGATCAGGGTTGTCGCTGTAGCCATACGACGTCTACACGTTTCAGCATCATCAGCCAGCTGTTGTTTACGTTTCATTGCCTCTTCATATTGTTCACGGACAGCGCACAACAAGGCAACTTTTTCAGCTAGAACACCTTCAACTCTAGCTAAATCTTTATTCGCCTTGGCAAGTTTATTTTCCATTTTAGCTAGATTATCCTTCAATGGGATAACTTCTTTATTAATCCAATAAAACTTTTCCATAGCCAGTGTCCATGAACATAGGCCTGCGACATTCCCACAAACTTTTTTAGCTGTTTCTAAATTATAATCATCTTGCTCTAGATAAGGCTGAATAAAATCCACAGTCTCTTCATTGATTAAATCTCTTGGAAAATTTAATAGACTATTTAAAAAGTTCGATGCAGCCATCAATTTCAATGATTCACCCCATGATGGTCTGATACAATTGGCACGTTCTGGATCCTTTTTCACTGGATCCACTTTCCTCTTGAATAAAAGCAGCACACAGTCCATGATACGCATAATGAGATGCGGTGGTTTAGCCAACTTTCTGACTGTAGATATATCACCCGGTTTGATAGTGTTCAATGCTTCTTCAGCTTCTTCTAAAGCTGGTCTTGCTGCTTCCAGTTTCTCTTCAGCAATAGCTCTTTCAACTTCTATACTCTGGACAATAGCTAAACACTTATCCTTGACTGTTTCCACTTTACTTTTAACGGCTTCCGCAGCTTGTGTTTGTTGTAATACGTTGGCCAGGACAATTTCAGCTTCCCGATTAGCAACTTCCAACTCTTTCTCCTTATTAGCTAATTCTACGCTTAATTTCGCTATAGAATCTTGAGCTTCGATTAGCTTCTGGAGACCTGAACCAAGTCGATTAATTTGTACAGTGACATTGTCCACCTGTTCACGATAGACTTTCATATAACCGACGATAAATGAAATATAGGATTTCGGTGTCACATTTGCTGTTCGACGATAACGTTCAAAATAGGCCTTACACTTAATACCAACATCATCGTGAACGTCGGCGACTAGAGCGATTAAACTTTTTTTCACCGCTGGTGAACACGAGATGTCGTAATTGGCGAGAAAGTATTCAGCAACAGCTAACAAAGCGTCCTGAGGCCATCGATGGAACCAGTCTATGGTGCAACCGGATATTAATCCAGGGAAGTACAGTGATCGTTGACGGAATTTTTCACCAATTGGAGAAAAACACAAGACAATGTGTAGATTTTTACGTATACGTGACATAAAATATTCATGGAGTATTTCATTTTCTGGTGGTCGTTTTGGGAATTCTTTCTTCATGATCGGGATTAATGAGCCTAATATTTCGTCCATTTCATCACGTGGAAATAAACCTGATATCTACAAAAAACAAATAAACAGGAGAAGAAACTGAAGCCAGTTAGGCTACTGTATTAATTTACTGTGGAAAAAAATCAGTATTAATTGGGATGTTTCAAGTTATATATATATATATATATATATATATATATATATATATTGAAAATCCCCATTGAGTCATATGAAAAAGAGAAGACATTCAGCGAAGAGACTCCTCTTTTCGCCGGCGAATTCATTCACATAGCTGTACAATCGCATTTATATATAATTATTTGTGTGTGTGTGTGTACATGAGGTTTGTCAAGTTCAGATAATTGATTAGTTAATACAAGAATGATATAATATGGAGACAAAGTTAATCAGACAGCAACTAAAGTAAGATTGAGTTGGTAAGCTAGAGGACGTAATATAATTGACTAAAATGTTATAACTTAGGTCAGGATAGCAACAGAGGTAATTACAGGTAGAGACTAAGTAGAAGTGGGTTAGAGAATAATGCCGTTTAAATTAGAACTGAAATTGAGCAAATAAGTTGGATGACATAACATAAATGACTAGAAACTGAGGGTTGTTCAAGTCAGTAACAGTGGTAATGAAGTGTAGAAATTAAATCACGTGGGGATAGAGAACAAGAAAGTTTAAAATGTAAAATATTACAGTCGAGAAGACAAAATAATACTAATGAAGAGACAGAAGAGAAAAGGATTAGGTAGAATTTACTTATCGGGTAATAAGATAGATTACGTTCATTGCAAGTGTAGTGATTGAACGAACTTCTTCTGTATGCAGAGTTCAGGACTTAGCAAGTGAATCGCCATTGCTTCTGCAGTTTGAAGAAGTCTGATTCGTACACCTTTAGGGAGACTACTTCTTACTCCGTAGACGACTTTGAAGTTTGTTTGTGGTGTAGCTTGGTGTCCGGATTCTATCAGATGTTCTAAGATGGAACTGCGGGGGCATCGATTTTCTCCTTTGTAAAACCATGTTGGTAAGTGTTCGGTTATACGTTTGGAGAGCGAGCGCTGGGTACGGCCGACATACCTGGCTCCACACGAGCAGGTGAATTGATAAATACACATTGATGAGGCCAGCCGGCAGTGGTAGCTTATCCTTCACGTTCACATGAATCAAAGGTTTTGTGTAGAAGGTTAGTCGTAGTTCAGCTGCGAAGAAGGTCTTCTTAAGTGAGCGCGACAGTCGATTTTTTAGTGTTTCCGCAGATAAATCTCCATTGAATTGAAGGTTCATGTAGAGTAGTTTTTTTCGGGACGCTAAGTATGTAATTACCTCTGTTGCTATCCTGACCTAAGTTATAACATTTTAGTCAATTATATTACGTCCTCTAGCTTACCAACTCAATCTTACTTTAGTTGCTGTCTGATTAACTTTGTCTCTATATTATATCATTCTTGTATTAACTAATCAATTATCTGAACTTGACAAACCTCATGTACACACACACACACAAATAATTATATATAAATGCGATTGTACAGCTATGTGAATGAATTCGCCGGCGAAAAGAGGAGTCTCTTCGCTGAATGTCTTCTCTTTTTCATATATATATGTATATATCACGGAATATACACATCTGATCATAGGGAATAAAAAGACAGTTGCAGCGAGGAAGAAAATTTTCTTTTCGTTGAAGTCATCATCTAGGCTCTACATTCGTGTATTTATATCAAATGGATGGGAAAGTTCCAGAATAATGTCTGGTTAGGGATCGAATTAATAAAAATTACGATTAGGAATTAGAATGCCATAATAAACAGAAAGACTACATGGACTGAACAATTTATCAACTTTCAAAGCTTCGTGCCGCTAAGCAGAAAGAGGAACCTGATATACGTTCTTTCCTCGAGGATTCGGAAGATATGCAGCGAGGAAGTGATTGAAGAAGAACCGCGTAATCTCCGAAAAACCCTGGTGGCAAACGGTTTCCTGCCCAGGTTCATAGACAAGAATCTCAAACCTAAGAGGACTTCAGAACAAGTCCAATCCGTTCCAAAGAAAATACTTCTGCTTAATCTAGAATTCAAAGGTGATATTGAAGCAGAAATCCTTCACAAACGCCTCTGCAAATCTCTTAGGAAAACATACTTCGCCGCAAGCCTACGACTGACGTTTTCCTGCAAGAAACTGTTCAGCCAGAAAGTGAAAGATAAGCTGTCATATTGGGCCATCTCAACGTGCATATACCAGTTTACTTGCTCTTGTGGAGCTGAGTACATCGGCCGTACCATGCACCGACTTGGAAAACGCGCTTGTGAACACTACCCAGCCTGGCTAGTAAAAGGAGACCGAAAACGTGTATACAGTTCAGTGACAGAGCATCTGGTCAAATCAGGACATTCAGCGCCTTTCGAGAAATCCTTAAAAGTAATATACAAGATTCAATCAAACCTATCAAAGGGAGTCAAATCAAGACATCTGGGCATAGCTGAGGCGCTAGCTATCCAAAAGCTCAAACCCACGCTTTGTATCCAAAAGAATTACGTCCAACCCCTCTCCCTACCATGGCCGTCATAAACAGGTAAAATTTTTTCAGTAATGACAATCTCATCGCCTTTCTTATCTAAACTTCCTGTTTATTCATGTTATTTTAAGTTTTCTTAATCCCTGTTTACACTACCAAATATTCATATCCACTCTCCCTGTTTATTTTGTCATTTTACTATTTCTACATATTTAATCGCTGATTGCATAAACAATTATTCATCATATTAGTTTTTTATCCAAACATCCTGTATATTTTGTTATTTTTACATTTCTAACCTCCAACTGCACAATGTCAATCTTCTAAGTAATTATGATGCTACTTTGTTTGAGCTTTATCCGTCCCCCTGTTTATTATGGCATTCTAATTCCTAATCGTAATTTTTATTAATTTGACCCTCAACCAGAAATTATTCTGGAACTTTGCCATCCACTTGATATATATATATGTCAACATTTTCCTCACTGGCTTAAAATCTATCAGATTTGATCATGCCTACCTATAAAAGACACCGAAATAGTCTTCAAGGTTCGCTCAAGCATCTTTTACAATGTTCTCTGTAGTCTAGCATTATTATTATTTCACCTGTTTTAAAGTGAGGTTTCAGAACTGATATTATATTTAGTCTTCCCGGGATCATTATTATTTGAATCAAAAAGGAGACTTTACAAGAACTTTGATTTCAAGGGGGGACTTAACCTGCAGGATTGGACTACACCGACCACTAGATTAGAAATAGGAAGTGAAGTGGTAGAGCGCATTGACCGCTTCACTTACTTGGGAAGTACCATCACAGCCAGTGCCAACGGGTTGATCTCTGACGAAATCTCAGCTGAGTACGAATACAGAGGGCTAGTTTCGCATATGCCAGTTTACGCCGTCTCTGTCGTAGACGTGATATCCGACTATCGACGAAAGGGCATGTGTATTGCTCAACAGTCCACTCCGTCCTCCTTTATGGCTGGCTGTGAAACCTCGCCATTGAGAGCGGAGGATATGAAAAGATTAGCTACCTTCGATCATAGGTGTCTGCGTTCTATCTCCCGTGTTAGTTGGTGGTATAATAAGATGAGCAATACTGAGGTTAGGCGTCGAGTGCTAGGTAAGGAGGGAAAATCAACAGACGAGACTGTGAAATTACATCAACTGAGAAGGTTAGGACATGTGTTACGTATGCATGCCTAGTCATCGCCTTCCTCGACAATGGCCAATGTTAGCTGATATAGAATTGGTCAGGCTGGAAAAGGGCTAGCGGCGGTCAAACCGAAACATGGCACCAGTCAATGAAATCTACAACAGTTAGTTTAAGCCAGCCACGTAGGAAGGTGTAGACTTCCTGACTGGTTGAGGTCCTCGGGAGGGTAAAAACCAATTTTTTCTTTATTCCTTCACATTCCCAGTGGAACATAGGGCTTCAGGCTAGAGGCTTGAAGTTTCTGTAGCAGAGTTTATTTTTACGGGATGGGGTTGCTAGCCTCATGGCCAACCTTCCCTCTTTACCAGTCTTATTACTGGCTTAGTGAGGTAAAGGAGTGCATCGGCCGGGGATCGAACCCCGGACCATGTGCATAGTCGGCGAGCGTCCTAACCGCTGTGCCACCGACGCACAGTAAAAACCAATGGTTGGAAACAATTGATGACATGGCTCAAACTCATCGTTCTCAATGGCTGGCTGGCGCAGATGCATCCACCCCTTGTGACTTATGATTTCCAATGAAACTCATTTGTTCTTCGTAATTACTATTCCTTTGTCTCACCACACCTCTGTTTACTGTCTATATTATTATGCATTTCTCCTACTTTCTTCTCTTGCTTTGTGTGTTACATGGAGGGAGTGTGGTGACTTGAACTGCCGCACATATGTGCAAAGTTCTATGTCGAAAACCGACCGACCGACAGACATCAAGGGTAACCTGAGTGGGAAGTGATACGTTGAATATCTGAGTGTGACATGGGGAAGATTATGTTTGTGGAGAGTCACGAAGTCATTTTAAAAACTGTAGCAGTAAAATGACTGATGAAATGAAAAAGCTTCGAATTTAGAATACTTATTGAATTCCTCAGCATAATGATGTTATTCTTAAATATGTCCTCCTTTCGGACATTGTGACTACTTACCATTCCCGAGGCAAGCATATTATTTATGTACTCCAAAAAGGCTTCATCTTTCACATCAGAGTCTGTAAATATAAATGTTACGCCTTTTCCCATCAATCCAGCTGTACGATAGAGACTTCTGAGATCTTCTAAAAGGTTTGTCACATTGTATGCCCTGTAAAATAAAATATATATTTTGATTCAAAGTTAATTCAGAGATCACATTGTTCTTTTGTTTACCACAGTGTTGGTGTGATACAGACAATGTCTGCCAACGGAATATGATTCACATATATTCCCACAGTTCAGTTCGGCATTAGCAGCAGAATATTACTTGTATCTTTGATTATTCTACTTTATGTCGTTTTTTAATTTAAACCAAAATCACACGCTCAGTGATTGGTTAACGAATATAAACTGAATATGTATAAACAGAGCTGTCACTGGGTGATGTCTCTAAATTGTTTAATTTAATATTTCATAGTGTGGAAAATTCCCATATTATGAATTAAAAGTTAATCTGAACGAAGAATATTCTTTTCAATAATTTCTCCTATTCAGGTTCTTACAATTATGAAATAAAATATAATATTTGTTGTCGTTACAATAAAGGCCAGTTATGCGGCAGGTACATTTTTCATGTGGACTAACAGGCTAGTTATGGGGTGTCAAAATAAATAGTCGTATTTGTGTGACAAACGTGTTAGGCTGAATTCGATTACAAAATATTGTAAAACGGGAGACAATGGTGGTGATTAATCATAATAGATTTGTAGAGTGTGGTTATAAAAGGTGTCAGGTGAGTGGCTAGTACAAAGTGGTCTGTATTAAACAGGAGATAGTAAAACTGCATTGAGAGGTGGTTCATAATGAAACAACGAATATGTGAAATGAAACAGGTAGAGGCATATATTGAAAAAAGAGATAATATCACTGATAATAAGTCCGGATAGTATAAACGAAAGAATTCGATAGTATTGAGAGAATGTTTGCATGAAGGGCATAAATTATGACGAATAATAATAATATTAATAATAATGATAATTGTAATAATAATATTTGTAATAATAAGCAAAGGAAAAAAAAGCCAAGAGGGTTAAGGGGAAGGAGCACTCTTGGTGAGAAGAAGAATCATCAATCCTAGTTTGGCCACGGAAGGAACAGCGTCTGGACGTGTTCTGTTTTTTGGATACAAAGTTCCGGTTTAGTCGATCTTATTGCAACAGCTTCAGCTATGTGTAGAAGACGTAAGCGAACTGTACGTGATAACGACTTCGGAATTCGGTATATAACCCTGAAAGCTGTGTTGACATCGATATGATGTCCAGTATTATGATTAATCACCATTGTCTCCCGTTTTACAATATTTTGTAATCGAATTCAGCCTAGCACGTTTGTCACACAAATACGACTATTTATTTTGACACCCCATAACTAATCTGTTATTCTACGTTAAAAAATGTACCTGCCGCATAACTGGCCATTATTGTAACGACAACAAATATTATATTTTATAATTGTAAGAACCTGAAGAGAAATTATTGAAGAGGTATGATTAATGAAAAATATACCTTAGCTTCCCTGTCTTGTCTTCTTTTGTTACACCGCCACAAGACTGGTGATTCTTTTTGTATTGCATTGCTATACATATATCAGAGTAGAGCCAGAGTGGGATGAGGATTTAATTGAAAAGTGAATATTCCTTCGTCCAATCCTCTGACGTTCTAAATGTCTAAGTGCGATCTTTTCTTTATTCTTTTCTGTCAATTCCGCTATTTAGAATTGTTGATCAATGCAGATTTTCCACACAATTGTTGAACTTTTGGTGGACAGAGTAGCAATTTAGGCAAGATACATACGGCTTATATGGCAAATCATTATTTCCCATGCAAAAATTCTTACAAAAATGTAGCCTGACGCTTAAAAATACTCAAATCCTACTGAAGTCAGTGCTACTTCACGGATCAGAGACTTGCACTGCGCGTCATAAACAGCATCTCAAACAAACTACAGACCTTCATCAACAGCTAGTTGTCTTCGCTCAATACCACTCAAGATCAGATGGCCGGCCGGCCAGAAAACATCAGCAACAGGCTGGGATCTCTGGCAATGAGCGAACCAACCAACACAGCAGGAACCGATTGTGAAACAAATAGGCAGGAAGAAATGGAGATGGATTGGATTGTGGCCATACTCTGAGGAAACAAACCATCAAGTGAGTGACATCACTAGACAAGCCATTGCTCGAGTGGAACCCGACGGAATGGGAAGCGGCGAGTTGGTCGTCAGTGCAAGGGTGAGGGTGACTTGGAGGAGGTGATGTGAAGAGGAGATGATGAAAGCATGTGGGCAGACTTGGAGCCAGGTGAAGACTCTAGCAGAGAACCGAGTGCAATGGAGACGCGTGGCTGAAGCCCTATGTTCCTCTAGGAATTAAAGGAAACAATAATAATATAATAATACCTCATTTCGCTATCAAGAGAGTACTGTTAGGACATACAGTGGCTAATCACTCATTGGTGTGTTGATAGCAAATTAAACTAATGTCAATCATTATTCCCTTAGTTCTGAGTGGAACGTAGGGTAATAACAACACACCCGGATTTCACTTCGTCTTCTGCTCTCCTCTTTAGCTGGCTGCAAGACTACCCAGTGTCTCCTGGAAGCCCAATTCATCGTTTCCTATTTGGATTCCACTTGACAACCTGGCACTCAGTGTCGTTCACCGGCCTTCCCGTGGTGTGTCCAAGCCGTCTTCACTTCCTTCTGCCAATTTGTTGGGCGACAGCTTTTTGGTTGGTTCGGTTCATTTTCAGAGTTCCCTGTTGTCTAGCCTATCTTCTGAACTTTAATATCGAGTGACAGCCAGTGGCCTATTGACGGTTATTCTCGTGACGCATGCGAAAAGTCTCTGAAGATTAAAGAAGCACTGATTTGACACTATAGTTGAAAACTGAAATCTTGTTCCTCTAAACTCATTTCAGAGTAGTGAATGCCTGTCTTGCCTTTCTGGCAGTGTTACTTCGACATCTTCATCGATACTGCCTGTTTACTGAAACGATGCTGCCCAATTCAGCTACGTGAAAGAAGTGACTGCCTACAAACTTCTTCAGCTGACAGTGATTGGCACTTCACTGCTTCTTCTACTAACCTATTGGTTTTCGCTTGTACATCTTCAAGTTTATGTGATATTCAACGTAAATCATCCAAAAGGTCCACATTTTCTAGAGTTTCTTTGCCAGTCCAATGCGCTCCCATCTTCCCGCTGTCTACAGTTGACATACAGCTGTTGAATGAGTCTGATATAAAAACAACGATGAGAAAGTGTTATCCCTTTTTGAAATGAGATTTCAACAAGAAGAAGGACTGAGTGATTATTAAGCTTAGATTTTACAACTAATTAGTTAGATTGTTATTATTATTAATCCCTTGGCTTCCTAGTAGAACATAGAGCTTCAACTGCACGTATCTACTTGTTTCTGTCTTCTGTTGTACTTTTCACCTGCATCCATGTGTTAGTCCATACTGTTTCAACTCCTCTTCACACCATCTCCTCCATGTCACCCTTGGACGTCCCACTACTCGCCGCTTCTCTTTCGGGTTACACTCGAGCGATGGCCTGACACGCGATGTCACCTAGCGGTCTCCTCAGCGAGTGTCCAATCCATCCATCTCCACTTTCTCCTGCATATTTGTTGAGCGATTGCTTCATGTTTCGTTTGTTTGTTCCCATAGTTTCTTGTTGGTGATTCTTGTTCTTTCCGGCCATCTGATCTTCAGTATAATGCTAGCGAAGACAGTTGTTGTTGATAAAGGTCTGCAACAGGCTGTTGGAAATATTCTTTGTGACCCGCCGCCAAGTTTCTGATCCATCCGTATAGAAGAACTGACTGACTTGACGTCGTTTGTATTGAAAATCCGAATTTTGTTGTTGAGTGTTGCTGAGTGACGAAGATTTCCAGATTGGTTTCAGGTTGATGAATGTGTTTCTCGTCTTCCCGATTCTCGATTTGACATCCTCGTCCGTTCCTCCTGTGGTTGAGACAATGCTCCCTAGCTGGATAACTGAATGAAGTGACCTCTTTCAAATCCCTCCTGTTGATGGTGACTGGGGCTGGAGGTTGCTGCTGTTGTTGTTGTCGTTGTTGGTTGGTTATTTTCATGACCTCCATCTTGTCTATGTTCACCTGGAGTCCTGTCTTCTCTGGCTTCTTCTTCGACCAGTTTGTGGGTTTTCGCTTGTAAGCAAGTCTTCGATTTTGTGTGACATCAAACATAAATCATCCACGCACGAAATCCAGGTCTTGTAGGTTCTTCACATGGGCCCAGGATATCCCTGTCTTCTCGTTTCCAACTGTCGTCTGACGACGCATAATCCAGTCCAGTCCACCACAATTAGGAATATCATTGGTGATAATAAGCACCCTTGTCTGACTCCTGATTTTCCTCCAAACGCCTCGCTGAGTTTTCCGTTGTGGATCACTTGACATGTGCCGTTGTCGAATAGCTGTTGAATAAGGTTGATGAATATTTGGGGTACGCGGTAGTAGTCGAGTAGTTTCCAAATTACTGCACGGTCAGTGCAGTCGAAGGCCTTCTCAAAGTCTATAAGGTTGAGGTAGAGGTTTGATTGCCATTCCATGCTTTGTTCTGTGATGATGATGCGTAGAGTTGAAATTTGGTCAGAACATGATTTGCCTTTTCTGAACCCAGCTTGTTCCGGTCGGAGTTCTGTATCCAGTGCTTCCTTTATTCTCTCCAGGATGATGGGACTCCAGATTTTACTAGTTAGTTGCTAGTAAATAAATATATAATAAAGATGCCAACATTAAGGGAATGGGGAATATTAGCGCCTAAGACACACTCTACATGATCTCTTGCATTTCATATACCCTGTTTTTATTCCTTCAGCAGATTTTTCTGGATTACTTTTTATGATATGTCGCAATGATTGGTACTTTCAAGTGATGCAATATTTTCTTCTAGGTTGATGTTTCTCCCATCTCTGTAGCACATGCTGTGAACAATTCAGGTAGCAATCACAACTATCTGTAAACATACTTTTGTTTTCGCTTATAAAAAATCAGTTGGTGATATTGTAACAATAGAAGACAAGGGCCATGCAACAGACCGTTTATTAAGGAAATCAAAGCAGACATTTGTAAAGAATTATATTTGTAAAATCTCAGGGAGATTGAAATGAGTAATTCCAACAGAATGCATATCCTAAATCCGTAGCTGTCGAGTCACCTGACAACTCTCCAGTAGGTCGAATAAAGCAGCTCAATCTTCAGAAAGAAGAAGATAAAGCAATAAGTCCGACAGGGTGCTTCTACTAAACTCTAATCCTAAACACCATAATTTGAAAATATACGTCTAATCATAAAATACTAACAGTTTGAACAGACATGAAGGCGTGATGTTAGCTGATGCATAGGAAATCCTTATTAATAAATAACAATGGATATGTATCACTAATTAATAATACTTGGTCAGAGCTCTCGACTGTCCATATCTTCTTATGGAGACGTTAAGAAATGTTTTACAACTGTTTACCCACACACACACACACACTCTGTTTGAAGTGTTTAACAAAGCTAGACCAATATTTGTAAGTCCGAGGTCAAATTTTGATCACAGCTCATAAAATTTTGTTTATTATACTTGTTTTATGACTCCTGATTGGACAAAGTTTCAAAAACAAGAGATGTCCCCCTTTTTATATATAAACCTATGTCATGTTAATTTTGATTAATTTCCCTGCAGAAGTTCGGACCAGATTGCCGAACACAGGAAACGTTGGAATTACTCATTTCAATCTCGCTGAGATTTTATAAATATTATTTTTTACAAATGTCTACTTCTCACTCGGCACCCAAATATTTTAGAACTATTCTGTCAAATCTTGACGACAGTTCATTTGAAATCAAAGCATATTTATATATTTTCGTGTACATTACTTTGGTTATTTAAACAAACAAACACAGTCTTCTGATTGGTTGTTTCTCACGTAAAGTTAATCTGTCATCTCTTTGTGACTGTTTCTTGAATGTCAGATCATCTATATGTTAACTATATCCGCCTACGCAAAGTCTGCTGTGGTCAGTTTTGAATCAATCTTTGTTCACATTTTCTCACGACAAATCTTGAGGACGTAAACATTGACGTAAATTACTGTCTATCAATTTGGCTAGTAGACAGCTCTCACCACAATATTATATTATTATTATTCCCTTGGGTTCCGAGTGGAATATGAGGCTTCAACAATACATCTCCACTTTGTTCTACTTTCTGCCGTCCTCTTCAGGTGGCCCCACGATCACCTGTAATCTGTGATCTCCTCCTCCTCCGACTCGCACAGACGACCCACTCGTCACCTGCCATTTGGATTCCACTCGAGTGATGGTCTGCATTGAGCGCGATGTCATTCAATGGACTCTTCAACGTATGCCAAATCAATCCATCTCCATTTTCTCCTGCATATTTGTTGAGCGATCAGCTCTTGGTTGGTTTGTTCCCGGTCATATTTTCTCGTTGTTAATTCTTCCTGGTTGGTCATCAATAAGGAGCCTGCGAAGGCAGCTGTTGATATAAGAGTCTGCAGTGTGGTCTTTTCAAAATGTTTTCTTGTGAAGCGCTGGCCAAGTTTCTGATACATACAGAAGCACTGAGCGAAACCACATTTGTGTTGAAAATCCGAATCTTGTTCTTTATGCTGTGGAGTGCAGTAGATTTCAGACTAATGAAGGCGTACCTTGCCTTTCCGATTCTGGCTGGCTGTCTGCCTTTGACATCTTCAACCGTTACGACTACCTGTGGTGGTTGAAACTGCGCTTCCCTGATAAGTGAAGGAAGTAAACACTCTGAAAAATCACTCCCATTGCTGGTGATTGGTTGGTTATCTTCATCACCTCCGCCTGCAACTTCTCTATGTTCACCTTGAGTCCTTTCTTCGCTGCCAGCCAGCCAGCCAGCCTCTTCAGCCAATTTTTGTGTGTGTGTGACATTTTGTGTGACATTAAACATTAATCATCCACAAGCGGAATCCGGATCTTTCAGGGTCTTCTTATTGGTCAATTTAGCACATCCAGCGGACAGTCTGACGCATAATCCAGTCCACCACAATTAAGAATACTATCGTTGATGTCAATAGGCAGCCAGCCAGCCAGTCAGCTTTTCTTACTCCTGTATTCACTTTGATTGCCTCTCTGCGTTTTCCGTTGTGGATCACCTGACTGACACATGGCAGTGTCATATAGCCGGCTGTTGAATATGGTTGATAAGGACTTGTGGCACGCCGTAGCGTTAGCAACTGTAACTTTCAGTGATGAACAAGACGCATCGCAGCAGAAAAGAAATAATAAAAAATAAAGAAAAATAAAGAAAAAAGAAAAGAAAATTTCTTTAACTACACGAGGAACGGACGAGGATGTCAAATCGAGAATCAGGAAGGCGAGAAACATATTCATCAAACTGAAACAACCAATCTGGAAATCTTCGTCACTCAACTCAGCATCAACAACAAAATTCGGATTTTCAATACAAACGTCAAGTCAGTCAGTTCTTCTATACGGATGGATCAGAAACTTGGCCAGTGTGTCACAAAGAATATTTCCAACAGCCTGTTGCAGACCCTTATCAACAACGACAACTGTCTTCGCTGGCTCTATACTGAAGATCAGATGGCCGGAAAGAACAAGAATCACCAACAAGAAACTATGGGAACAAACAAACGAAACATGAAGCAATCGCTCAACAAATATGCAGGAGAAAGTGGAGATGGATGGATTGGACACTCGCTGAGGAGACCGCTAGGTGATGTCGCGTGTCAGGCCATCGCTCGAGTGGAATCCGAAAGGGAAGCGGCGAGTATTGGGACGTCCAAGGGTGACATGGAGGAGATGGTGTGAAGAGGAGTTGAAACAGTATGGACTAACACATGCATGCAAGTGAAAGGTACAACAGAAGACAGAAGCAAGTGGAGACGTGCAGTTGAAGCTCTATGTTCCACTAGGAACCCAAGGGAACAAGACAAGAAGAAAATAGAAATAGGCTTAAATTAAATGATCCTGTTTAATCAAAACATCTTTATTAATTAAAATTATAATACTACACAGCATTACCCACCTGGTCAGTGTGATTTGAAATACCGAATACTCAGCTATGAATGAGGCTAATCGAGTTAATGAGCGTTTCCCGGAGCCACCAACACCAACAAGTAATGCATTACCTCTGGGTGATCGTATAATTCTTGAAATTTTAACCAAGTGTGTAGTTGCATCTTTGAATAATACCAAATCCATATTAGCTCCACGGACAACTTCATTCATCGTTCTCATGAAAAAACCGAGTCTGTCACGTAATGCTTCAATACTGGGTATCTAAAAAGGAAGTGTGAAAGCTAAAGTTTTATATATTCATTTAAGATGCCTATAAATGCAAATCTGTAATTAATTTTATGTTGTAAACCAACACACTGACCATGGAAACAGTTCTATCTTTCTGAATTACATTTTACTATTATTATTGTATCTTTTAATTCCTAGAGGAACATAGGGCTTCAGCCGTGCGTCTCCATTGCGTTCTGTTCTCTGCTAGAGTCTTCACCTGGCTCCAAGTCTGCCATCAGACACGTTTTCATCTCCTCTTCACATGACCTCCTCCAAGTCACCCTCAACCTCGCACTGACGACCAACTCGCTGCTTCCCATTCCGTCGGGTTCCACTCGAGCAATGGCTTGTCTAGTGAAATCACTCACTTGATGTTTTGTTTCCTCAGAGTATGGCCACAATCCAATCCATCTCCATTTCTTCCTGCCCATTTGTTTCACAGTCGGTTCCTGCTGTGTTGGTTGGTTCGCTCATTGCCAGAGATCCCACCCTGCTGCTGATCTTTTCTGGTCGGCCATCTGATCTTGAGTGGTATTGAGCGAAGACAACTGGCTGTTGATGAAGGTCTGTAGTTTGTTTGAGATGCTCTTTATGACACGCAGTGCAAGTCTCTGATCCCTATAGCAAGTAGCACTGACTGACTTCACATTGGAGTTGAAAATCCGGATCTTATTTTTGATGCTGAGTGTTGCTGACCTCCACACAGACTTGAGAGTAGTGAAGGCTTGTCTTGCTTTTCCGATTCTTGCTTTGATATCTTTGTCAGTTCCGCCGGCCTGCAGTTGAAACAACGCTTTCCAGGTAGGCAGGTGAAGGAGGTTATTTCATTCAGGTTCCTCCCATTTGCAATGATTGTTGTCTGTAGTTGTTGTTCTTGTCCAGGTATCTTCACCTCCGTTTCCTCTCTGTTCACCTGAACTCCTTACTATCTTTGATGCTCCTTCTGCCAACTTGTTGCTTTTCATTTGCATATCTTCCAGTTTGTGGGAAATCAGACATATATTATCGGCGAAGTCCAGATCCTCCAAGTCTCTTTTTGTGTGAGTCCATTTTATGCCTGTTTCCTCGCTGCCCACCGCTGTCTGTCGCATTCTCCAATGTACTGCAATCAGGAAAGTCATTGGCGATAGTAGGCAGCCAGCCAGCTCGTCTTACTCCTGTCCTCACTTCTTAGAAGGATTCCGTGAGTTTCCCGTTGCGGATAACTTGACATGCAGCATTGTCGTACAGGTTCACGCTTAACCTCCCCTTTTTATCAGGCTTACCACTGGGGCTAATCAAGGTTTCGGAGTGCGTCGGTGGGGGATCGAATCCCAGACCTCGTTCGTGGTCGGCGGGGATCCCGAACCACTGAACCACCGACTCTTTGACTTAGACATAAGATCTAAAGACATTATTTTGTGCAACTTATCTATCCGTAGCTTATAAAAAGGCTGAGTGAAATCTGGCAGATTTGAGGCTAAACTAGCAGATAATGTCAGTGTGATAGTCAGAAGACTGGGTATGTGTGTGTGTGTTGGATACGGGCCTAAGTAAGACCTAGTCATGACAAAATCAACTAAACTTTATTTTGATTGATACTACTGTTTAATGGATCCGAAATTTAACTTCAGCACTTGATAATGTGAAGACGCATAGTTTATTTCTCAAGACCCTAAGTCACTGTAGTGCTAAACTTCACCGCATTTCCTATCTCTCTGAAGTATATAGTTCTTCTTGAGTCATTTCACGATCCGGTTATGACATACGTGAGTCAGTGGTACAGAGGTTAGGAGTCTCGCCGACCACGCACATGGTCCGGGGTTCAATCCCCTGCCGACGCACACCTGATATCAATGGCCGGCCTGCAAAATTTGGGCTACCGATATCGCATGCTGAAAATTCTATACTTGTACCAAAAATACTATGTGGTTTCAAGCTATAATAAATAAAAATAAAATAATTATATTTTTATTCAACCGTAGTTTCACTTTTAAATAGTAAACTCCTAAAATACTAGAGCGATGGATAATATAGCATGTTTCATGTCGTACTCCTTTTTCTCCTTACACGTAGTTGAATACATAGTCTTCTAGACCCCCGCCCCCCCCCCTTCAACCAAGTTAGAAGCTTCGAAGAGAGTGTGTTTACACATTTTCACATCCTACTCCATATAACTGATATGTCATTGATACAAAATCTAAATAAAATTTAGACTGTGATTTATGAATAACACTTCTTATAAACTCTAATTCAAATGAACTGTCGTCAAGATTTGACAGAATAGTTCTAAAATATTTGGGCGCCGAGTGAGAAGTAGACATTTGTAAAAAATAATATTTGTAAAATTTCAGTGAGACTGATATGAGTAATTCCAACGTTTCGTTCGACAATCTGGTCCGAACTTTTTCAGGGAAATTAATCGAAATTAACATAACAGAGGTTAATATACATGAAAAGGGAGACACCTCTTGTTTTCAAAAACTTTGTCCAATCATGAGTCATTCAACAAGTATAATAAACAAAATTTTATGAGCTGTGATCAAAATTTGACGACAGTTCGTTTGAATTACTTTGCAATCAAATTAAATTCACAAAGGAACTGTGTAATTGGCACAATCATCGTGTTTTCACTCTCCGTTGTCTGCAACAGAATAATGCATATCCTAAATCCGTAGCTGTCAAGTCACCTGACAACTCTCCAGTAGGTCGAATAAAGCAGCTCAATTTTCAGAAAGAAGAAGACAAAGCAATAAGTCCGACAGGGTGCTTCTACTAAACTCTAATCCTAAACACCATAATTTGAAAATATACGTCTAATCATAAAATTCTAGATATACTAACAGTTTGAACAGACATGAAGGCGTGATGTTAGCTGATGCATAGGAAATCCTTATTAATAAATAACAATGGATATGTATCACTAATTAATATTACTTGGTCAGAGCTCTCGACTGCCCATATCTTCTTATGGAGACGTTAAGAAATGTTTTACAACTGTTTACCCACATACACACACACACTCTGTTTGAAGTGTTTAACAAAGCTAGACCAATATTTGTAAGTCCGAGGTCACATTTTGATCACAGCTCATAAAATTTTGTTTATTATACTTGTTTTATGACTCCTGATTGGACAAAGTTTCAAAAACAAGAGATGTCCCCCTTTTTATATATAAAGCTATGTCATGTTAATTTTGATTAATTTCCCTGCAGAAGTTCGGACCAGATTGCCGAACACAGGAAACGTTGGAATTACTCATTTCAATCTCGCTGAGATTTTATAAATATTATTTTTTACTTATAAACTCTGTTCTTGTTCTCCAGTACAGAGTTCATTTGACTCTTCGCCTTGACTCCAGTAGCTGACATAAACAGATGTATCTATGCAAAGGTTCATTGGAAATGTCGTGAATGTAGATAAGCAGATAGATAGACCAAATATCAAAACGGTACATCAATTCAAGTCACCAGATTTCGAGAGACAAGTGCTGATGAATAGCATACATAATATTACTACACAGTGGTGAAAGTAATTGGAACCAGCTCAGACGCGTTACAGTACGTTTGGTAGAGAGTTGTTAGCCGTTTATCTAGCAATTAGACATTTCAGTTATTTGCTACAAGGTCGTCATTTCACAATATTTACCGATCACAAACCCCTGTGCTACGCTTTTACTACGTCACTGGATAGACACTCACCCAGAGAAGATAGGCAGCTAGATTGTATCTCTCAGTTCTCGACAGACATACAGTACATTAAAGGCGACGCCAATGTGGTAGCTGACTCTCTTTCTCGCCGTGATTTAAATCATCTGCTCAAGCCAATAGACATCAGTCTCGAGGCCATCGCAAGATTACAACGCGATGACACTGAACTTTTAGCTTGCCGTGAGAGATCATCCTTGCAACTCCGGGATATACCTATTCCCTTATCCGACACCACCATCGTCTGCGACGTATCTACAGGTGTCCATCGAAAAGCATTTTTCCACCATTTACATGCATTATCCCATCCGGGTGTGCGAGCTACAGTCAAGCTAATAAGTGAGCGTTTTGTGTGGCCCAAGATGAATTCGGACATTCGACAATGGGCACGCGAATGTCTACAATGCCAACGCTCGAAAGTTCATAGACATACGGTCACCATACCTCAGCAATTCGACCTTCCGGAGAGACGATTCCAACATGTTCACATAGATATAGTCGGCCCGTTGCCACCATCAAAAGGGTACACACACATTCTCACGGCGATAGACAGGTTTACTCGGTGGGCTATCGCTTGCCCACTCAGTGATGTGTCAGCTGAAAATGTTGCCTCAGTATTTCTAGATCGCTGGGTCTCAAATTATGGTGTCCCATCTACAGTGACATCAGAGAGAGGAGCTCAGTTCCAATCGACAGTATTTCGCGAGTTCACCCGACTTCTGGGAGTGCAGCATATCTCCACCACTGCATACCATCTAGCAGCGAATGGCCTAGTAGAAAGATTTCACAGACAGTTAAAAAGCTCCTTCATAAAGCAATCGGATTCATCCCACTGGAGTGACCATTTACCTTTGATTTTGCTCAGCATCTGATCAACTGTTAAAGAGGACCTTGGTTGTACACCCGCACAACTAGTTTACGGCACTACTTTAACACTGCTAGGAAAGCTAATAGTCTCCCATGACTCTCAAGATGTGAATATTTCTGAGTTTTCTGATCAACTGACCAGACGAATGCTACAACTTCAACCAATAGCTCTGAGACAATTTAAATGAGCATCTGAACCTATGTATATCCCCACACGTCACCTCAAGTTACCACAGACTCACATAAAATGCTGAATTCCAAACCTAATCTAACTTACAACATATAGGTCAAGATGCTGCAAGATATCACAGTCAAAGGTGTTGATCTTTCTAAAAAAAATCAATTAAACCTACTGGTTCATAAATTTTCGGTGCACTGATGTCCATATCTTCAGGTTCATCACCGGTGAGTTCTGGTGCATCACTGTTAAATGAAGTTAGAAGGAAAAAATCAACATGTAATTCAGTTAGCTTATTATGTTTTCCATTAAAGAAATGCAATTACAAGACAATATTAGACTTATGGATCTCTGTATAGAGGAAGTTTCAGAATATGATACTTGCGTGTTCACACCATGAAAGCATCTGTCTGGTTTCATTCCTATTATTCAGTGTTTGATAATGCCTACTAGGAAGGATATCAATGTATAACTAATGCACAAAAATACATGTGTAATACTTTAACAAATTTCTTTTCAAGCTCAACGTCAACACAGACTTATAATTATTATTATTTTTCCCTTGGGTTCCTAGTGGAACATAGGGCTTCAACTGCACGCCTCCACTTGCTTCTGTCTTCTGCTGTACTTTTCACTTGCATCCATGTTAGTCCATACTGTTTCACTTCCTATTCACACGATCTCCTCCATGTCACACTTGGAAGTCCCACTCACCGCCGCTTCCCTTTCGGATTCCACTCGAGCGTTGGCCTGAAACGAAACATCACCTAGCGGTCTCCTCAGCGAGTGTCCAATCCATCCATCTCCACTTTCTCCTGCATATTTGTTGAGCGATTGCTTCTTGTTTCGTTTGTTTGTTCCCATAGTTTCTTGTTGGTGATTCTTGTTCTTTCCGGCCATCTGATCTTCAGTATAGAGCCAGCGAAGACAGTTGTCGTTGTTGATAAGGGTCTGCAACAGGCTGTTGGAAATATTCTTTGTGACACACTGGCCAAGTTTCTGATCCATCCGTATAGAAGAACTGACTGACTTGACGTCGTTTGTATTGAAAATCCGAATTTTGTTGTTGATGCTGAGTTGAGTAACGAAGATTTACAGATTGGTTGTTTCAGTTTGATGAATATGTTTCTCGCCTTCCTGATTCTCGATTTGACATCCTCGTCCATTCCTCCTGTAGTTGAGACAATGCTCCCTAGCTGGATAAGTGAATAAAGTGACCTCTTTCAAATCCCTCCCGTTGAAGGTGATTGGCGGTGGATGTTGCTGCTGTTGTTGTTGGTTGGTTGGTTGGTTATTTTCATGACCTCCATCTTGTCTATGTTCACCTGGAGTCCTGTCTTTGCTGCTTCCTCGACCAGTATGTCGGTTTTCGCTTGTAAGTCTTCGATTTTGTGTGACATCAAACATTAATCATCGACTGATAAACTGTAAGAGGAGTGGTTGAGTTATGCCTGAGTGCCTCAACTTCTTAATGTAAAAAGTCAAACGAAATATTCTTTTAGAAATCGCTAAGACATGAGAGGACCAGGATAGGTCAGAAGAGAGAATTAATCCAAGATACTTAACTTCAGACTTGGTTTCTATATAAGTATCATCGATGCTGATATTATTAACGGGGCTCTATAATATCTAAAGAAGTGCTCTGATTTAATCACAACATAAATAATCCACATAACCGTAGTAATAAAAAGAAAACGAAAAGGGAAAACATTTAGCTACAGTCACACAGTCACATCAAATTATATCCCAGAAAGGATCAACAAAAGAAAGTTACCGCATGAAATCCACAAAATAAGTTTCTTCAGCCAAAGATGCAAATTGTCTTTCTGACAAAGAGTCTGCAGATAAAATTCCAACATATTTTTCAAACCATGCGTTGTCTTCACTAGTGGTGAATCGATCTGCTAAGACGCGTAACATTTCATGTTTCCATAGTGAAACGATCCTTTCTTCATTGTTGAAAACCTAAAATTTTGCATAGATGTTCATAAATATCAAGGTTAGGGCAGTAGACGTAAATATTTACAGTCACTTTAATAGGATTATATTCGGTGCGAAATTAGAAAAAAACAACCACTTGAGATTACTTTTACTGCTGACACTGAATTTTCTTCCATGTGTGTACACAAGTGCTGTAAGTAAAAAAAACCACCGATACCCAGTAGTGATCTTAATTAACCGAATTACTACCAGTAACACCTGCCGCGTCGGTGGTATAGCGGTTAAGACGCTCGCCGACCATGCACATGGTCCGGGGTTCGATCCCCGGCCACGGACGCACTCCTTCCTTTACCTCGCTATGCCAGGAATAATGCTGGTAAAGAGGAAAGGTTGGGCATGAGGTGGCTAGCAACCCCATCCTGTAAAATATACACTGCTGCAGAAACTTCAAGCCACTAGGTTGAGGTTCTATGTTCCACTGGGGAACGTGAAGGAAAAAAAAACACCTGCCAAAATGAGTGTTTCATCGACTTCAGTGCTTAGAAGTTGTCGAGTCTATAAATTTAAAGACGCCGCATTTCTCAACTAACTTAGTAAACCGCAAGCACCAAATCTCGGAATTTACTTTCTCATCGATTGATTCCATTACATAGAGAGAAGACCATTAGTTGTTCAGCGAAGAGTCAGTCTCTTTTCGGCGGCGAATTCATTTTCACAGCTGTACAACCGCAAATATATATGTATATAGTTATTCTGTGTGTGTGTGTGTGTACAGTGACTTTGTCAAACAAAAATACGATTGGTATTAGATGGTTGGAGGCAATCGGCCACAGGAAGCCTTGGACCTAGGTTTCGTGATAGTTGGCACTCATCAGCAAGGCGTATCTGCAACCTTGAAGAAACTGATGTCCCTTCTGAGATTCGAACCCGCGTCACCCAGTGCTGCAGTCAGAGACGTTAGCACTGAGCTATTCAGGCTCGTGACTGACCTCCTGTAGGACTGTATTGGATATTTTTGATTACACACTAGTCAGCAACTAGTGTAATGTGTCTAGTCCTATCTTCGGTGCAGACTGAATTCTATCAGTCATGTTTGCAATGTAGACAGCATGCTAGGTGGCTTGCCATCACAGTGCACTGTGAATTGAATTGTTGGTATTAGGTGGTTTGAGGCAATCGGCAGGAAGCCCAACCCAACCTAGGTTTCGTGCTAGTTGGTGGCACTCACCAGTCAGCAAGGCGTATCTGCAACCTTGAAGATAGGACTAGACACATTACACTAGTTACTGACTAGTGTGCAGTCAAAAAATACTATTAGTAAGTATTTCGGTGGAGTTACGTAATGCAAAAAAAACAAATATTCAGAGGAATTGAATGTTGATATAAGAGGGTAGTGTAACAAAAGTGATGAGTTGTCACAAACGATTGTTAAAGAAGAGTTACGTAATAACATGAATAACCTGATGAAAGAGTTGTGCTCAGTGTGCACATGGAAACAAAGCGAAATACGGAATGACGTAAGAGTTTTACAGGAATACAAGAGTTTTTGAGTAATTAGAAAAAAAACAAGCAAACTTTGAGTCGAATCAACAGAGTTGTTATCATGATAGTCGGTCAGTCGGTTTCCGACATAGAACTTTGCACCAGTGTGTGGCAGTTCAAGTCGCCACACTCCCTCCACTCCATGTAGCACACAAAGCAAGAGAAGAAAGTAGAAGAAATGCATAATAGAGAGAGACAGTAAACAGAGGTATGGTGAGACAAAGGAATAGTATTAACGAAGAACAAATCAGTTTCATTGGAAATCATGAGTCACAAGGAAGGGATGCATCCGCGCCAGGCATTGAGAACGATTTTGAGCCATGTCACCGGTTGTTTCCAACCTTCATTGGTTTTTACCGTCCCGAGGACCCCATCCAGTCAGGAAGCCAGTCTACACCTTCCTACGTGGGTGGCTAGCTGGCTTAAACTAACTGTTGTGGATTTCATTGACTGGTGTCATGTTTTGGTTTGACCACCGCTAGCTATTTTCCAGCCTGGCCCTATATCAGCTAACATTGGCCATTGTCGAGGAAGGCGATGACTAGACATGCATACGTAACACATGTCCTTACCATCTCAGTCGACGTAATTTCACAGTCTCGTCGACTGATTTCCCCCCCCACCTACCTAGCACTCGACCGGTGCCTAACCTCAATATTGCTCACCTTATCATACCACTTCACGCGGGAGATAGTAGAAGTGGCCGAATAATTTTCTTTTGTATGCATATTTCTAGCTCTTTCTAACTGAGAATGTCTAGGGCTTCTGTAATGCAAAGAAGACGGGAACGTATTTTTGTGTTTGGTAAGTTGTTCTTCACTTTGTAAGCAGATTACTTTGAAGCGGGGGGAGTTTGTTGTTGAGATGGAATGACCAGTAGTGGTGACGAAATGTTCGATTATTGCACTCATTATATACGGCCACTACTTCCTTTCTGCAGCCAAGTTGGATAGTGTTCTTTTGACGCTTTTTCACAGGATACATGTCGAACGACCTTTGTACCTGGCTGGTTCCACAGTAACAAGTGAACATTATTTGAAACGTACTTCTGGATTGCGTAACTAAACTTCTTTCTTTAGCCTTTCAACTAATCGAGGATTGCTGATTTAGAAAAAATAATTTTTCTCACACTAGATTTTATCGAAGTAGCTCTGCTAACTAATTGTTTGACTCTTTCGCTTATTTTGATATGGTTGTGTTCTCTCAGCTGGATAGTTAATTTGCGAAGCTTTCGTCGCCCTACTAGACGACATCTTCAGCGCATACTTCATTTTGAAGACTTTTTGTATAACGTCTTACACGTGATAGAAATACAGTATTTGGAGTAATATGTAGCGTTTGTCTTGATTGAAATGAATGCGTTAGCATTAAATACTTTTTCCCAACAATAATTTTATCCATATATATACATTTTAATGGCCATTAATAAGTTAATATCATATTTTCATCATGTGGATGTATGTCTGAATCGAATGTTTTTAAAACATGAAAACGAAACAATGGCTGATAGGATTAAGTTGGGACAGAGTTGAGGTTGGTTACACTAAAACCTGGCAACAGTGCATGAAGTCTTCGACAGTTAGTTTGGGTCACACAGGGAGGTATACCCTGCCTACTTGGAGTCCTCAGAATGGAGCAAGAATAGAGCACGAATAGAGCAAGACGCATTTGTACAGATGATTCCCTAGAAAATGAGCTAGGATATATTCAAAATACGCTGGTCCAAATGAGTTATCCTAGTAGATTTGTTAGGAGACATATGAATACCAGGTACAATGAAGAAAAACTGACAACAGTTAAAAAAAAGAACTGTTCATGAAACGGCAATTTAATGGGGACGTGGCTAGTGAAGTCTTACATCTGAGATTATCGAGAGCGATAAAACGGACTTATACTGCCGCCACCATCCTTTGTTTGTCATTTTCCAGTTGCCGACCAATTTTGATTGCTCAAGTGAAAGACAAGTTACCTAGTTAGCTGTGCCACTTCGATGTGTATCTCTAAATTTAGCTGCTCCTGTGGAGAAAGCTATATAGGGCGAACAACTAGACAGCTTAACAAACGCATTAATGAGCATCTTCCTTCCTTCATGGTTCGGAAAAGGTCAAATAAAATCCATACGAAGTTCTATTTTGGCTCATTTGATTGATAGCGGTCACCAAGTGGACAAAAATAATGCTTTCAAAGTTATCTATCGTATTCCATCGATTCTTTCGAATGGAATCAGAACCCGTCTCTTACACCTAGCCGAAGCTATGGGAATTAATTCGAGAGAAGAATCCTAGTCTTTGCATACAACCGAAGGAGTTTGTTCTACCTTTGTCTCTCCCTTGCTTAGCCTAGGTGAATTCTATTCAAAACCCTCCCACCCTTTCTTATTTTCCATCTCCTTCGTACTTTTATAATATTTATTTAAACTCTGATTATCGTTCCACTTCACCTTTTAAGATTTGACCTAATTCATTTATACACTTATATACATATACTATCTTTGTTATTCTTATCGCCACCTGCATAAGCCTTATTATCAATATTTTGTTATCATTATAATCATCGTTATTAATTTCGTTCAAAACATTTACCACATTATTATTATTAAGATTATTATTTGATTCCCAAAATCACCGTCATTGGTTAAAATCGTTATATATATAAATCTATGTAAATTAGAGTAAAGCCTGAAGAAGATCTCTAATTGAAAACAGTATTGTTCGCTTATATGTCTTGTTCTAAGAATGATAAGAACCAATAGCTGCAGACTATTGACAATATAGCTCAAAATTCTTCTCAGTGGCACAGATCCGTTTACTTTTTTTTGATTTGCCGTATCCGTTTCACCCTATTGTTTCTCCATGTTACTGTTCTTCCTTCCTGCCTTACTTCCTCACATTTGTTTCTACTTATTATAGTACTTCTGAACTCCTCTGCTTTTTCTCTCTTTTGTCCATTCTTTGTGTACTATATGGAATACTGGCGAGTTGAAGTGTTGCACTTCTATGCAAACTCATTAATTAATCCGTCAGTCAGTCAGTCAGTCAGTCAGTCAGTCAGTCAGTCAGTCAGTCAGTCAGTCAGTCAGTCAGTCAGTCAGTCAGTCAGTCAGTCAGTCAGTCAGCCAGTCAGTCAGTCAATCAGTCAGTCAGTCAATCAGTCAGTCAGTCAGATAGTAATAGTTGATATTGACAACTTTCTACTTACCTCACTTGTTGTATACAACATGCCTTGCCATATTCGACTAAGATCTCTTAAATTAAAGATATAATGAAATTTCGACGGTGTTGGCAATAGTTTATTCTTTGTATGCTGCCAAATAGTACGAGTCAGTGGGACTAATTTTTCAATCAGTTCTGTGATATTTGGTAGAAATCCACGTTCTTTACAAAAGTGTCCAATACCAATCACTCGAAATATTGTATCAATTGAATTATTACTCGGTAGTGTACAATTGAATGTACAAAATTGACGTTTCAATCTTTCAGGAATATCATTACGACCACCGCCTGGATGATTCATCGCTGCAATAAACTAGAGAAAATAGTTTTAGAAATAAATTGAAGACACATTTAATCGCTTTCACACACTGGATTCATCCGCAGTGTTAACTTCTAAAAAACACTTTTATACCGTCACCGCTTTTGACATTATATGAAAAGGATAAAAAAACACACAATTAGAATGACAGTAGAATAGCCCTACTTCTACAATCTACAATCAATCAGTATATGGTCTGTTTAACTCTGATCAGACAATTCAAGAGAGCTCTTATTATTGTTATTATTATTAAACTCATCATTAGGCAATAATTCTAATCGAGCATTATGTTAATTTTAGTATTATTATTATTAGTATTGTTTCCTTTAATTCCTACAGGAACATAGGGCCACTCGTCTCCATTGCGTTCGCTTCTCTGCTAGAGTCTTCACCTGGCTCCAAGTCTGTCAACACGTTTTCATCTCCTCTTCACATGACCTCCTCCAAGTCACCCTCACACTAAAGACCAACTCACCGCTTCTCTTTCGGGTTCCACTCGAGCAATGGCTTTGATAGGATCCCACACACTTTGTTATTGTTCAATTATTTTAATGACTGTTAATCTCGCATAAGTGGTATATCATCATTTCCCACGCATTTTGTTATTGACTATTACGACCAATTATTTCAAATACTGTTAGCTGTCTGTATTGATTGTATAAATACCATTTCCTAAATAAGTTTCTTTGTCGTCGTAGTTGTTGTACTACAATACACAGTCACAGACCAGACTTTGTCTTTTGATATTTGCGTGCTTCGCTGAAACGGAAGGTACCAGAAGCAGATAGATATACTAGTCAGGCGCAGACAGAACAAGGCGACAACGTCCTCATTTAATTCCGCTTACAGTTATAACAAATTGGCGACGAGGTTTACTTTAATATCCTCGCTGTTATAACAGGCTTTTCTAGTGATGTCACTCACTTCATGGTTTCCTCAGAGTATGGCCTGCCAATCCATCTCCATTTCTTCCTGCCTATATGTCGCACAGTCGGTTTCTCTTGTGTTGGTTCGCTCATTGCCAGAGATCCCACCCTGCTGCTGATCTTTTCTGGCCGGCTGGCCATCAGATCTTGAGTGGTATTGAGCGAAGACATCTAGCTGTTAATGAAGGTCTGTAGTTTGTTTGAGATGCTGTTTATGACGCGCAGTGCAAGTCTCTGATCCCTATAGCAAGTAGCACTGACTGACTTCACATTGGAGTTGAAAATCCGCATCCTACTTTCATTTTCATGCTGAGTGCTGAATGTTGACCTCCACACAGACTTGAGAGTAGTGAAAGCTTGTCTTGCTTTTCCGATTCTTGCTTTGATATCCTCGTCAGTAGTGTCCGCCTGTAGTTGAAACGATGCTTTCCAGGTAGGCAGGTGAAGGAGGTTATTTCATTTAGATTCCTCCCATTTACAATAATTGTTGTCTGTAGTTGTTGTTCTTGTCCAGGTATCTTCACCTCCGTTTTCTCTCTGTTCACCTGAACTCCTTCCTATCTTTGATGCTCCTTCTGCCAACTTGTTGCTTTTCGCTTGTATATCTTCCAGTTTGTGGGAAATCAGACAGGCATACATCATTGGCGAAATCCAGACGCAGATCCTCCAAGTCCCTTTTTGTGTGAGTCCATTTTATGCCTGTTTCCTCATTGCCCGCTGACAGTCGCATTATCCAGTCTACTGCAATCAGGAAAATCATTGGCGACAGTAGGCAGCCAGCTTGTCTTACTCCTGTCCTCACTTCTTAGAAGGATTCCGTAAGTTTCCCGTTGTGGATTACTTGGCATGCAGCATTGTCGTATAGCTGTTGGATGACATGTATAATTGTCGGTGGCATCCCGTAGTAGTAGCGAAGTAGTTGCCAAATTACCTCTCGATCGACGCTGCGCTGTCGAAGGCCTTTTCAATGTCGATGGAGTTGAGATAGAGAGGTGGCTGCCATTCCAAGCTATGTTCAATGATGATCCGTAATGTGGCGATCTGATCAATGCATGACTTGTTTCTCCTGAATCCAGCCAACCTGTTCCGGTCGAGGTTTTTCATCCAGATTGTCATGTTTGATTCTCTCCAGGATGATGCGGCTTAGTATTTTGCTTGGGATGGACAGGAGCATAATTTTGCACCAGTTCTTGCATTGACTTAGGTCTCCTTTCTTTGGTAGTTTGAATAAGTATCCTTTCTTCCAATCCTCGGGTTATTTGCCTTCTTTCCACACCTTCTTAACTTTAGTAGCTCACAAAAAGTTGTCAAATTACTTCTGACAGACGCAAAGATTGTAAAGCATAAAAAACATCTCTCTAATTGGATGATTGTCGTGAGCCTTTTGCAATCCATGTTGACTATTTTTAAAATCAAAGTCAATAAATATGTTGTGAACGATAGCGATACGAGAAAATGTTGCCGAATGACCTTGGAAATATGCATATATAAATATATGATGAAAAGATAAAAACTAGCTCAACAAACGTCGGCTCAATACTACTATTATGGAATGTGCTACTGACGAGATTTACAAGTAGTATATATAAATATATGCAGACATCAATATGTATATCATCTGTAGGAATTTCGAATAGCGCAGAGATGGATTTTATGAACACTGTTTATGAAACAACATGGAAAGAATGAAAGGTAGACAGAGTAGTACAGCAGTGAACATATGTGCAAATTGTAGGTAGAAGTATTTTGTCTGTCTCTGTGTATCCAGTCAGCAAAGAATAATTCAGTTATCTAGTGCTCTTGTCTTCTGCCCCCGTACATTTGGTTTCGCTACCTGCAGACAATGAAGATCCTATTGCCTGCTGATTTCAAAGAGGCAGGCATACGAAGCTTCTTGCTTACACTGAGTTGATTATTATTATTATTGTTCCTTTGGGTTCCCTGTGGAACATAGGGCTTCAACTGCACGTCTCAACTTGCTTCTGTCTTCTACTGTACTTTTCACCTCCATCCATACTGTTTCAGTTCCTGTTCACACGATCTCCTCCATGTCACCCTTCGATGTCCCACTCGCCGCTTCCCTTTCGGGTTCCACTTGAGAGATGGCCTGACACGCGATGTCACCCAGTGGCCTCTTCAGCGAGTGTCCAATCCATCCATCTCCACATTCTCCTGCATATTTGTTGAGCGATTGCTTCTTGTTTCGTTTGTTTCTTCCCATAGTTTGTTTTTTGTTGGTTCTTGTTCTTTCCGGCCATCTGATCTTCAGTATAGAGCCAGCGAAGACAGTTGTTGTTGTTGATAAAGGTCTGCAACAGGCTGTTGGAAATATTCTTTGTGACCCGCTGCCAAGTTTCTCATCCGCACGTATAGAAGAACTGACTGACTTGACGTTTGTATTGAAAATCCGAGTTGATTGGCGTCCAGGATCTGACGGCGAAGACAGTTTTGCTGGGGACTCTGTGGAGAGGTCGGGAGAAGGCGTCGTGGTACAAGTGACCTGTGACGTATTGGTGGAATGCCTGCCTGGTGGCAGAGTTCGACAACCCGACTGACAGACAGCAATCAATTTCGTGCCATGAAGCTGGGATTGTATGGATGGAGACCCTCTGGAATTGATGGTGAAGCTGACACGTCTACTTCGTCGCGCACTCCACACACTTGTTGAAGAGTCGTTGGCCTCACAGTTTGTCGATAGTACTCCGGAACACATTGCTCAGCAATTACAACTGTTCAACTCTAAACAACCTCTACAGACCGATGAGCTCGCGAAAGGGAGCAAGACAAATAGTGAGTATAGTGGTAGCCATAATACAGCGATCAAAATCTAACCACTGGTTACAGAAAATCAAAAATTTGCAGCGTGAGGTGGCGGCGTTACAAACCAGTGTCACAAAAGACCAGTGCTTTGAATGTGACAAAGCAGGATATTGGGGGATAGACTGCTCAGAAAGGAGGAAAAGGAAACATTTTATACAGTATAATGTGTGTTCTTTTTCTCCGATAAGACTGGAAGTGGTGGGAGATATCGAGAGAGGGGCCATTTATTTTACCACTAGTGAATCTTACTTTACTTTACTTCGGGAGGATGAACCGGCTTCATAAACATCTCGAATCATCGCTGCCCATGCGCGGCGATCTAATGCAAGGTTTTGGGACAGGGTTATTCAATTCTTGTTCCACAGACGGAGTCCGTAGACGGTTTGTAGCCCCAGGCACTCCATATCAGCCTTGACTGTACCAAGCCATGTTTTCAGCTGTCCACCCCTGCGACATCGCCCAGATGGTAATGGCGAGGGATTTAGAACTGATTTGACCAGATCGTCATCTGGTCGGCGCAGAACATGGCCAAACCACCGAAGGCGACATTGCTGGACCAGGAGAGTCGTTTGCAAGAGAGTTCATGAAGTTTCATGGGAATTCGGTACGAGTGATGTCCCCAGAATCACTCGACCTTTTGTTTGAGAGTGCAGCTCTAGCCTTTACACAACCAAGTGTGACCTACAAGGCAGTAGGAGTGGAGTAGGGAGTCCACTATTCATTGGCAGCCGGTGACCGGAGTTCGGTTCATACGCCTTTTTGAATGGGGCCAGACATCCAGGACATCCAACAAGCCCTTTGTCCATACGTCTGCCGGTGAGCTCCAGTGAGCTTCATACGCCAGTCGTTGGAGGTTTGCAATCAGGGTTTAGTCATCTCCCCTAGACTGTCATCCAATGGGCATCCGCTTTCGCCCTCTCACTTTGGTGAAAAACACCTCCGCCGCGTGAAGGCAGTGAGTAAGACTTCCTCAGGAAAGGCTATGTAAGACGCCCGGTCATATGGGAGCATTTCAAGAGGTGTGCGGAGGGGTGGCCAACCCGCAGCTTAAGGCACCCACCCCCAACCATCCTGAATCTAATAAACAGTGAGAACAAGAGTAATTTACTTTCTGGTTGAAGTATATAAATATATCATTTTGGCTATACTCTTTCTTATATATATATATATATATATTTGCTTGAATTCATTGCGTGGATTTCTTTCGATGTCCCTTATTATCAGGTCTTTTCAAAGTCAACAATATCAGACAGTCAGTCAAAAAAAACAAATACAGAAAGTGAATACACTTCAAAAGATGAGATCATTTAAGTTCACCTGTACATCAACAATATTGGTAAAATCACCAGGTTTTTCTAAACTATAAAAACCATTCATTTCCATAGTTTGTCTAACAATTTCATTGGCTATTTGATCACCCCATTCATTAATTAATGGCATATTTATATCATCAATGAATACAGTCATCTTTTTGCCAGCAGGTGGACCATAAGTTGTACCAACACGTTTTTCAACAAAACTTTCTATTGTACGCTACAGGATTAAAATAAATAAAACAAATGAATGCAAGTGATAACCTGATTACCAACAGTAATAAATGAAAGTCCTCCACTAACGCACTTACTTTAGCTGGTGTTCCTCAGAGTGCTGTTCTTTCTCCTTTTCTGCTTTCTTTTTTCTTACATGACTTACCCCATTCTGATGTAGCCGTTTTTGTCAAGTATGCTGATGACCTCTCTGTCTCCTTGCCTGTCAACTCTCAGTCAGACTGTTCCAAATTAAATAGCTTTCTGTCGGAAATTAGTCAGTGGTCCTCTTCAAAAGGTCTTAAGCTGAATCCGTCTAAATGTCAGGTAGTAAATTTCACTTTCAGATGAAAACGTGACCTACAACAACTAGCTAGCTCACATCGTCCCGCTAACATTGACGGCATAGAGGTTGAAACTACATCAAATGTCAAGTACCTTGGACTGAGTATTTCCTCCGATCTTTCCTGGTCCTCTCACATCTTGCTGGTTACTAGAAAGATGTTTCGCTTAACGTTCTACGTTAGGAAGTTAAAGCAGTCTTTGCTTTCTCAGTTTGTCAATTCTTGTGTTCTACCCATCCCTCTTTACTGCTCCCCATTAATCTTTCCTGGACTACTTAAAAAAGACTTTGCTTTGCTGCGTAAGGCACTAAAAGCTGTTAGTAGGGGAAGTGGGATTTCGTTAAACCAACTGGTTAACATTATTGTGGATAGACATATAATCTCATGTAAGAAACTAGCGAATACTATATTGTCAGACCGTGAGCATCCTCTCTATACACAGCTCTCTCCTTGCATTTCATCTGGTAGAACTAGAAGCAACTATAGGAAGCTATACGCTAGGACTACCAAGTACAAAACTCCACAATACCTTATCTGTTATGTGATGAGAAATCCGTTAGGTATGACACGATCAACTTACTGCGGCACTCTAACAAATAGTTCCCATTTAGCTTTTCTTCTCCTTTCTTTGTTACTATTATATTGTTGCCCACATATTCTATTACACACTAATTTTATATTTCATATCCTGTGGTGCATTGTTTAAATATGTGAATGCAATGCTGTTCTTTTTTATTTCTTTTATTATTCTTTCTTTCTTTTTGTTGTTGTTGCTTTTTATTTTAAAATCTTATAAAATTTATGAGGTGATTAGATGCAATATTTGTAATGCATGCTGAAAATTCCATATCTGTACCACAAATACTGTTTGGAATAAAGCTATTATTATTATTAGAATTTAATTGGTGGATGGTGACTAGCGCTGGAATCCAGGATAACGCACATTTCGTCTTATTTCTGGGACTCGTCCGCAAGCTGGATGTACCTGCATTTCCCAGTCAGTGAGTCAGTGATGATGTTCCCACCACGGAGGCTCGAACCCAGTGCCCATAGTTTCAAACGCCAGCCAAAGCGTTATCCACTAGACCGCTTGGGTGACGAGAGCTGGCCACCTCTTGTGCAACGGGTCATATTAATTTAATTGAATTTTAGATTTTCCCGTCCATTGATTGATTGGACCGAAGTGCTCGGTCTCAGGTTGACATGCCGGCTTCTTCAGAGGTTGCAGATGCAAATGACATATGCTGTCATCATCATCATAACTTTCAGTTTTGTAAATCCCCTTGGGGACATTCTTGGACCAGTGGGGGATGGCAATGGAATTTGGGATGCACACGTTTGTCTGCTTCGGCTTTCCTCAGTTAGATACACCTGCAATCCCCAGTGATTGAGTGGTTGTGTCGCCGGTTAAACTCGAATCCATTGCCAATCGTTCAAAAACCTCGAAAGGTTATCCACTAGACCACTGGGTTATGACAGCAACCTCTTGTGCAATCAGCATCAACGGTAATTTGTACATTTCAGGGGCAGTTGAATATCGGAGGTCGTTAGAAAACATTTTTTCATTCAATTGCACAAATTAGTAACTTGATTAAAGATTAAAATCAAGAAAACTTTGCCTGCATTATATAGACATTACAATGGATCTACGGATTGGCAACAAATGATTTTAGATTTTAGTACAGAAAATCAATTGATGACTAACATTCAGATGGTAATTTCTGTAAAAATGAAATAACGCAATTATATGAATACCTAGCACGATCACATCGAGCAGTCTTAGGAACAAAAGAATAACTCGAGTTAATCTAGAAGTTAAAAAGTAGGCTGACAACCTTTAAAACTCTGATATTGTTCATTATTCTACATAAAAACAAAACATCATTGTGAAAACTACGTGAAACTATCTCAGACAATCAAGCTTTTAATATATCTGCCGAATGACGCTGTATCTTTAAAACCACTCCTCTTTTGCGTTCGTTCGGGAGTAAAAGACAAACTGCCTAATTTCACCTCTTCCATGTGTGTGTGTATCTACCAGTTTAACTGCTCCTGCTGTCGAGTGAGCCAGTTACTTAATTGCATAGGCCGTACACAATTAGGCGTGTTTCTCGTCGAATTTCCGAACATCACCCACCCTCCACAGTGGTTGGTTGGTTGCTTAAGTAAAGGAAAAACAAAATTTATTCCCAGCGCTATTCTATTCTATCTCACTCATCTTGTGGATACAGAACACAAGACTGATTGACGTTAATCATGCTTTCAGGGTCATTTACCGCATACCGACAAATCTCAATTTCGCCTTAAGAGTTCGACTAGTAAATATTGCTGAGGCTGGCTGGCCACTGGATCCATATTAACAAGCCTAATTTGTGCATCCAAAAGAAGTTGGTTGGTTCAGATATTATCCTTACCGCTTGGCTATCCAGGTTTAAATGATCCTGAATTTTAGTTGATATTCTGTTTGCTACTATATCTTTATAATAATAATAATTATTATTATTTAAGCATCTTTAATGAACTGTGGTGATTCCACTGTGATCTTACTTTACAAATCGATATTATATAAAAAGCACACTAATATTGTTATTGACTACTAATCTAGAATATTCTATGTATATAAACATGCATATATAGAATTGTAGAGCCTGGAAGAGAAATTTATCGAAACGAATATTCTTTGCTCGATTATTTTGTGTTTTATAGATTTCTGAATGAATATTTTTGCTATATTGAAATCTATTTCTAGTTAACCGCAGCACTATACAAAGCAGTGTTTTACCGCTATTTCCAATATGCTTGTGACCATCTCAAGTTCTCAGCGTTGTGAAAAAAGGTTCGACGGTTTCAGATAGTTTCAATGGCCTCATTCTACAGGCTATTTAGGTCTTTCTAGATAGTTGAACAAACCTTTCTTAATTATCAGATTCCTTCACGCTATAAGGGAGTTTTGAAGATCTTAAGCTATTCAACTGCCACCACTAGTTGAAGCTCAGAAATAATATCTGCTCAAGAATAATGCATTCTGATTCACAAATGGAGGACATTATGATGCCGTCACTTACAGTGGTTATCTGAATGGATGTGTTCCAATCCTTCACAGACATACATACATGACGTCACGATCTCTAAGATTCAAACATGTTCATTCGAGTACCTAAGTATCTGCATGTCTCCACATCCTCAGTACAGTATTCTTCTTTTGGTGAGTCGTTAGAAGTACTCTGCATCAGCGTGGCGCTTCCTTTTGTGATGATGAAACAATCGTTAGCTTCTTAACACATACAAACTCTTTTTACGAGTTGATCACGGATTGACATCAGCTAGGGAACACACTTATATATAATTGTAGAGCCAGAAGAGGAATTTATCGGAAAGGATATTCTTTGCTGGCTCAATTATATTTTGTGTTTTATAAATCAAGTTTTCATCAGTCGATTTTATTTTAAGCTTCCTTTAGACTGGATACTGATATTTATGAATGGACAAGTGCATAACAATTAAACGATATAGTTCAGCATAATAAATACTGAGATACCCATCGAGTATCAAAGCCTGTGGTTTATTCACTAAATATTGAAGCAACCAACTCTACTCTATTTTCATCACTATGCATTCACATAATACTGTTGTGTGCAATTTCAGGCAACTGAAGCAAAATAAAGATTTCCGCCTAACAGTCGAGTCTCTTATTTCATTCGATAAACATCAGAATACGAGAGAGAGACCCAGGCTACAGGCTTTAATCTGAACTTCAGTTATCAATCATGTTCAGATGGAAGTAGCATGGCTTTTTCATTATTTTATTGCATATATATATATATTATACATATCAGTCAGGTCCATATAAAGGATTTATCACTATTTAGTTGTAAATGATACAAAATGATAGCATGAAAAACTAACTTCACGTAGAAAAACACAACAATTAATTACTCATTATAATAGTGGTTTTTGTATTTCCCCCAATAAATGAAAAAGAACAAAACGATATTGTTGCTCTTACTGACATTTCGCTATTTAATGCCCCTAATAGCTTCATCAAAGTAGTATTCTAACGACAGAAGGCAAGAGTCAGGCAACAGATCGTTTATTAAGGAAAATCAACACATATTTATAGATTTTAATGTACATTATTGTAGATTATTGTTAGTAGAAAATACCGTCTTTTGATTGGTTGTTTCCCACAGAAAGTTAACCTTGCATCTCTTTGTGGCTGTGTCAGATCATCTATATGGTGATTGTATCCGCCTACTCAAAGTCTGCTATCCATCTTTCACCTTGTTTTCACATGACTAATATTTGAGACATAAACATTGACGTAAATTGCTGTCTACCAATTTTTGGATAGAAGACAGCTCTCACCACAGTATTTTTAAACCAGTATTTACAAAATCCACTCAGCATATATATAACAAAGAGTTAAGATGTAAGAAAATATACTACTTAGGCCAAGTTAAATGGATATATTGAAGGTCAAAATAACAATGAAGATCACTAAACCAAATAGTACATCTGCCCTGGCTTGTATTAAAACAAAGTTTACTAACTTGATCATCGTTCGTCAGTATGGGGTCATTTTTCGTTATCAAGTTGGTCAATTGGTTGACTGTAGAATCTTTAATGTACCAAAGATGCATAAACCCACAGTTCCATTAAGACCAATAATAGATTTCACGAACTCACTGACATACAACCTCTCCAAATAATTACTCTCGGTACTACAACCACTACAAAAGGACATTCAAAATATTGAAGAAATTCATATGATTTCCAATCCCAAATAGGACACCGAGAAATTGATAAAGAAGACATTATGGTAAGTTATGATATTAACTCATTATATACTGGTATCCTTATTACTGAAAGTCTTGACAGTATCTCCAGTCTACTAGAATCAGATACAACGCTATCACAAAGATGTCCACTGGACATCAGTCAAATAATTAAGAGCTTGAAATTCTGTCTAGAAAGTAATTAACATTTTGCATCTAGTGGGAGTTTATATAGACAGACAAATAGTGTTGCTATGGGTTCACTAGTCTCCCTCATAATAGTCGGTGATCTTTTTATAAATAGATTCGAAGATAACATCTTTTCAAGTATACTCACTCCTAAAATATGGTTAAGATATGTAGATTATACACAATTCATTCCTGCAGAAAATAAACTGTGTATCTCCTAGAATCCAGTTTACTTCGGGAGCAGTCAGAATCAGACATCGGTGAACTACCATTTCTAGACTGCCTAGTTAAGAAGAGGGTAAACGTACATTTTAGTATATCCATATTCAGCAAGGAAACCCACTCCAACAACAAATACTTAGACTTCAGATCATCACACACCATCAGCGCAAAGATTTCAGTTGTTTCAAGTCTTCTTAGACAAGCACACTCTTTAATGTTAACGGATGAGAAAGAAAAGGAAGAAGAAATATCAAACATTACTAAAACTCTGAAGCAAAACAACTACCCAAGGAACTTCATCAACAAAATCAACACTGACATCAAGCATGGTCGAATACATATTCCGAAAACATGGACCTCGACAGTCGTCATTCCGTATAGAGCAGAGACGTCAGATGATATCAGAAGAGTACTCAATCAGCTCAACATTAGAGTTTTCTTCAAAACATCAGACACACTGTGAAACAACCTTGTCCACATAAAAGACCAAATCCCTAAAGATTCTCTATCTAATTGTGTCTATAAAATAAAATGCTTGCTTGGAATGTGATGCGATATACATCGGACAAACATCGCTAGAGAGAAATCAAAATCAGAAGAAATGAACACCTTAGAGCATCTCTTCGACCACCGAGAAATAAATCCAGTTGAACTAGAAAAGCTTGAAAAATCATCAGCCATAGCTCGTCTACACGCTATGGAATCAAGCCACAAAATTGATTTTGACAATATTGAAATCGTCATCCAGAAAAAGCATTTCAGAAATCACAAAGAACGTCTAATATCATCAGAAGCACTTCATATCAAGTGGAATCCAAGTTGCCTGAACTGAATTGGAATGATGGACTAAAACAGAATTTGACCTGGTTGCAACACCCCCTCCCCCATGAAGTGACAAAATCAACACGAATGTAATAAGCAAGTTTACTATGTAAACACACACTACTTTTATCATTTTTACACACTGATCAAATCCAACAGTCATCTACACTTGGTTTTGTTATCTTTACTAATTGACCAACTTGACAACGAAAAATGACCCCAGACAGACGAACGATGATCAAGTTAGTTAACTTTGTTTTGATACCATAACAGATGTACTATTACCTTTGTTATTTGGTTTAGTGATCTTCATTGTTATTTTGACCTTCAATATGTCCTCCTTTTAACTTGGCCTAAGTAGTATATTTTCTCACCCACCTCTTAACTCTTTGTTATATATATGCTGAGTGGATTTTGTAAATTCTGGTTTAATACTACTTTGATAAAGCGATTAGCAGCAGCATTAAATAGCGAAACGTCAGTAGGAGCAACGATAATATCGTTTTGTTCTTTTTCATTCATTTATTGGGAAATATAAGAAAACAACCTTTATTATAATGAATATCACATATACCGCCCAATGCCCAAACTGTTTTTTTCAAACTGTTTAAAAGTGAACTTGGTTTGCAGACATATATATATATATATATAAATCAGTATAATTACTCACTTGAAATAAAGCTGGTGTTGTCGCTGATGAAAAACTGATTGATTTTGATGCATGCGTTTCAGGATTGAATTTACTCATATATTTATTGACCATAACTGTTTTAGCTGTACCTGATTCACCAATCAACAGAACCGCCTTGCCTTGTTTAGCTATGATATCAATTAAATAATCTGTTCGTACATTGTCAACATTCGGTACTAGGATACTGGCGAATTCAGGTGTATGATCCTTTGGATAGGTGTAATTCTCGATATAGTTTGACCAATGAACCCATTTACCTGCATCAATGTAATGAAGATATATATTTCATGGCATCAAAGAATAAGACTGTTTCAGGATTTTCATCATGAGCTGAAATTAGTTAGAGAACCACTGGAAAACCCGCAGGGAGTACTGGACAGCTGTTTCGACCTAGTTTGAGCATCTCATTGATATTCAATGAGATATCAATGAGATGCTCACTAGCACCATTTGCATAGATCTTCCGTATGTTGTGCTACTTCTGTCCCCCTTTGTATTGTGTTCCTTTCACGTCTCCCATGTATCTCTCCGCAACACTGTACCATTCGCTTTCTCTGAGATCAAATCTGTCTCTTTGCTATTTGGTGTTTTTTATACCGGTGAACATCTCTTTATATGTATACTGCTGATAAATGTTATGCGTAGCATACGCCACACTATGATCTCAATAGTGTACCTAGACAAATCGTATAACATCTGCAAATGCACCAGATTAAAGCAACATTCAGTTAATTCCACAAGTGGGGATTTCTCGGAATGCACCATTCTGAACAATCTGTCCTTTGCATAACACTGAGAAGAAGATAGTCAATGAAGACACTCTTTACCACGAATTTATAGTCAAGCTCAACACTCGTGTTTACTTGCCTCTGATAGAGCCTACCACGTGAGAACAATTTTGAATCACTAATTCATGACAACAACAATGAAGTACACACACACTTAAGTGTCTTCAAGTCATCAGGATGTGTACTGCTCAACAGTCCGCTCCGTCCTCCTTTATTTCTGGCTGGCTGGCTGGCTGTGAGACCTGGCCATTGAGAGTGGAGGACATGAAAAGATTAGCTGTCTTCGATCATAGGTGTCTGCGTTCTACCTCCCGCGTGAAGTGGTATGATAAGGTGAGCAATATTGAGGTTAGGCTTCGGTCGAGTGCTAGGTAAGGCGGCGAAATCGATCAACGAGACTGTGAAATTACATCGACTGAGATGGTTAGGACATGTGTTACGCATGTATGCCCAGTCATCGCCTTCCTCGACAATGGCCAATGTTAGCTGATGGAGGGTCAGATTGGAAAAGAGCTAGCGTCGGTCGAACCAAAACATGGCACCAGTCAATAAAATCCACAACAGTCAGTCTAAGTCACGTAGGAAGGTGTAGACTTCTTGACTGGTTGGGGTCCTCGGGACGGTAAAATCCAATGAAGGCTGGAAACAACTGGTAATGATATGGCTCAAAATCGTTCTCAATGGCTGGCTGGCTGGCTGGCGCAGATGCATCCACTCCTTGTGACTCATGATTTCCAATGAAACTGTTTTGTTCTTCGTTATTACTATTCCTTTGTCTCACCACACCTCTGTTTACTGTCTCTCTCTATTATGCATTTCTCCTGATTTCTTCTCTTGCTTTCTTGCTTTGTGTGCTACATGGAGTGGAGGGAGTGTGGCGACTTGAACTGGCGCACATATGTGCAAAGTTCTATGTCGAAAAGCGACCGACAGACCGACCGGATGATATAATGCCATAACAATACACTAATGTATAGATGTACTAATATTAAGTTTCAACTGAACGATAACTAACCTTCACTGTCAACTCTGTACTCAAAGATTGTATCACTTTTGTCCTCCAGTTTTGGTAATTCTAATTCTAATTCATTCTGCCAGAATGTTTGCAGTTTACTTCGATCGTCCAATTCTAGCAAGGCTCCAAATGACCACATAATTGCGAAAATATAACAGTTCATTAGCATTTTGTCATTACCCTGATGGAAAGGGGAGAGAAAGGCAAAAAACAAAAAAGAAATTACTTAACTGATTGTCATTAGACAATATCGAGTGGCAGAAGGCATTTGTTTCACCCTGAAACTAATTAGCAGACAGAGAGCACATTATTATGAAATGAGAATAGGATCGCTAATGACTGTCTCTTTTAGGTAGACACAAATACATCACTTATGAGAGATCCATGGTTATTGAACAAATACATCCCCCAGATGAATGCATCTAGCACTAACCAGAAGCACCAGTGATGTACACGAAAAGTAGTTCCATAATATCCGCCTGAGGTGAATTCAGTAATCACGTTAGCAAATACACTGCTCAAAATCATTATTCTAACAACTTGCTTTTGGTCTAGTACTGCAAGCAATCTTAAATTACGCGGTTTGGACACACTAAGCACGTCTGTTGCGTCTGTCTACAATTATCATTTCTACGGAACAACTTCGTAGTGTATTCTGGTCAAATTCTTATTAAATACACTGAAAGCGGACCCAGAAACAACAGCAGATATGCTGACTCCATTATTGCTAAAGGTCTGGAAGGAGGGAAAGGTGCCTACTGACTGGAGGAAAGGTTACCTCGTGAAACTACCAAAGAAGGGCGACTTGGGCCTCACTCTGCAAGAACTGGCAAGGAATCATGCTCCTATAAACTCCAAGTAAAATCCTGAGTCGCATCATCCTGGAGAGAATAAAGGATGCACTGGATACAGAACTCCGCCAACCAGAACAAGCTGGGTTCAGGAAAGGCAAATCATGTTCTGGCCAAATTTCAACTCTACGCATCATCATCGAACAAAGCATGGAATGGCCATCAAACCTCTACCTCAACTTTATAGATTTTGAGAAGGCCTTCGACAGCGTCGACCGCAAAGTAATTTGGAAACTACTCGAGTACTACAGCGTACTCCAAATATTCACACTCGCTGAGCTGAGGAGGCCGCTGGGTGACATCGTGCGTCACGCCCTAAAGTGGAACCCGAACCCAAGTGTGACATGGAGGAGATGGTGTGAAGAGGAGTTGAAACAGTATGGACTAACATGGATGCAGGTGAAAAGTACAGCAGAAGACAGAAGCGAGTGGAGGCGTGCAGTTGAAACCCTGTGTTCCACTAGGAACCCAAGGGAACAATAATAATAATAATACACTCTGTAACCACTTTTACCACTAATCTTCCATTTTACACACTTAAGAGATGAAGCTTAGTAAAAGCCAGAAACCTTACTGTAAGCATTAAATGTCGTATGAAAGTACCAATAAGTATACAACAACCACTTGATGAAGAGCACAGATTCTATGCGTGAACTGTCCTTTCACAAAGTTAAAAGTGAAATAACGTGTCATTATCAATAGTAGATGATTTAAATGCATTTGTACCACAAAAGCAAATAGTGCAGAAAGTATGACAGCTACTATTAAACAATATACATCTTTACATATGTATATATGAGGTAATGAAGATTCCTGGACAAGAAGAACAACAACAGACAACGATCAGCACAAATGGGAGGAACCTGAAACAAACAACCTCCTTCACCTGCCTACCTGGGAAGCATCGTCTCAACTACAGGCGGACACTACTGACGAGGATATCAAAACAGCGAGCATCGGGAAAGCAAGACAAGCTTTCACTACTCTCAAGTATATATGGAGGTCAACAGCACTCAACATCAAAAATAAGATCCGGATTTCCAACTCCAATGTGAAGTCAGTCAGTGCTACTCACTATACGGATCAGAGACTTGCACTGCGCGTCATTAAAAGCATCTCAAACAAACTTCAGACCTCCGTTAACAGTTGTCATCGCTCAATACTCAAGATCAGATGGGTTCGAATTGGATTGTGGCCATACTCTGAGGAAACAAACGATCAAGTGAGTGACATCACTAGACAAGCCATTGCTCGAGTGAAACCCGATCGAAGGGGAAGCGGTGAGCTGTTCGTCAGTGAAAGGGTGAGGGTGACTTGGAGGAGGTCATGTGAAGAGGAGATGAAAGCATGTGGACAGACTTGGAGCCAGGTGAAGACTCTAGCAGAGAACCGAACGCAATGGAGATGCACGGCTGAAGCCCTATGTTCCTATGGGAATTAAAGAAAACAATAGTATATATATACATTAAACTTACTTGAATATCGCTTGGCAACAGTCCTTCTAGAACAGAGCATGTCTGATGAACAAAAAAGGCTTCATGATACTCCATTTTCATGACTAAACTTTGCACCACATAACGATAAGTTTGTGGGAAGGACTTCTCGAATAGAGAGAAAAGTTTTTCTCTTTCACTTACCGGTCTCTTCAATAACCACGCCTATAAAATTAGTGACAGAAAAGACAAACAGTGTAAAAATAGGATAAACGAAATGGATAAAAGCAGTGTGAATTGCTTATTACTTCAGTTGGATAGAGGAAAGCGGTTCGTTGGAGAGCCCCCTGGATTATGGCTTTTGTGTGAGTAATCCAGTGTTACTCTGGACTTAGGGAAGAAATTAAGGTTTTTGCTTGCAACCGGCTGCCCTTATTAGTTTGAAGAAAGAAAGAGAGGACATATTTGCAGGATAATACAAGCTGTTTATATATTTCGTGAATGGCCCCTTCAACTAAATACATCCTGGAGGAAATCGAATTATAAGTGAGCGTCTGAGCACACTTTTCTGACTGTGACTTTGAGTCATAGATAGGCAGTATAGCGTTAACAGAATAATTAAACAAAGGGGGTTGGGGTATAGTTCAGATTTACCTTGGAAACATGAATGGACTGGAGACAAAATACGAGACAAAACAACAGAGTGAATTTATACATATTATGATGGAGAGTCCAACAGGTTGGGAGTCAATAGTAAAGTAAAACAATAAGACAGACAAAATAAATAAATTATAATTATATTTCAATAATTTACACACAATGATAAGTTTTGTGTTTTGGTAATATTGCGAGCGAAATTACTACCCGTGATCACACCAACTATAATCGTATATGTATATATATATATATTATTGTTTCCTTTAATTCCCAGAGGAACATACGGCTTCAGCCGTGCGTCTCCATTGCGTTCGGTTCTCTGTCTGTTTCCTCATTGCCCGCCACTGTTTGTCGCATTATCCAATCTACTGCAATCAGGAAAGTCATTGGCGGTAGTAGGCAGCCAACCAGCTCGTCTTACTCCTGTCCTCACTTCTTAGAAGGATTCCGTGAGTTTCCCGTTGTGGATTACTCGCCATGCAGCTTTGTCGTACAACTAAGTGTTGGATGAGATGTATAATTGTCGGTGGCACCCCGTAGTAGCGAAGTAGTTTCCAAATCACCTCTCGATCGACGCTGTCAAATTCCTTTTCAATGTCGATGAAGTTGAGCGAGGTAGAGAGGTGACTACCACTCTAAGCTTTGCTCAATGATGATCCGCAATGTGGCGATCTGGTCAGTGCATGACTTGTTCCTCCTGAATCCAGCCTGTTACAGTCGAAGTTTTTCATCCAGTGCATGTTTGATTCTCTCCAGGATAATGCGGCTTAGTATTTTGTTTAGGATGGACAGGAGCATAATTCCGCGCCAGTTCTTGCATTGACTTAGGTCTCCTTTCTTTGGTAGTTTGAATAAAGATCCTTTCTTCCAATCCTCGGGCTATTTGCCTTCTTTCCACACCTTCTCCAGTAGTGGCGTCATCAAGTCCGCTGTTGTCTCTGGGTCCACTTTCAATGCTTCTGCGGGGACTCCATCTGGTCCTGCTGCTTTTCCAGCTTTTAGCATCTTGATTGCCTTCAGGACTTCTGATTTCGTCGGGGGGTTGGTGTTCACTGGTAGCTCTGTCTCCGTTGTTGGTATTGTTGGGCGCGTTGTAGGTGGTGGTCGATTTATAAGTCTTTTGAAGTGTTCAGCCCAATGTTTCCTTTGCTCCATTTCTTTGGTGAGTGACTTTCCGCTGTCATCTTTCACCGGCTTGATTTGTGTCAAACGTTTGCCCGATAGGTACCTAGTAGTTTGGTAGAGTGTTGCGAGGTCTCCTCTGCCTGAAGCTTGTTCTGCTTCACTTGCCATGGTTTCATAATGCTTTCTTTTATCTTCTCTGGCACTCTTCTTTACTCTTTTGTTCAGTGTCTTGTAGTTTGTATTCAAATCCTGTTTTTGTTGCTCGTCGGTGCACTGGATAATCTTTTGTTTCACCATCCTTCTCTCTTCTATTAGTCTCCAAGTGTCCGTAGTGAGCCACTGTTTGTCCTGTCTCTTCTTTCTGCCTAGAACTTCCATGCAGGTTTGACTCCACACTGTCTTCAAGTTGTTCCAGTGCTTTTCGACGCTGACCTCTTCACCAGTGTTGATTTGTGTCTCGGCTTTGTCTTTTATGCTTGCAGTGAAGATGTCCTTTGTGTCCCGGTCCTTCAGTTTCTGAGTGTTGAACTTGGCTTGTGGTCTATCTGCAGCTCCTGTTTCTCTGAAAGCATTTAATTTGATTTGGATTGTCCCTTGTACGAGGTAGTGGTCTGAGCCAACGTCTGCTCCTCTTCTTACTTTCGTGTCCAGTAGTATATATATATATTCTGTCTCTAGTTCATCCATGTTTCCAAGCGGAATCTGAACTCTACCACCGTCCCACCTCCATTTTTGCCTAATTATTCTATAAATAGTCACTTTTTTAACACTGAATAATCCGTCTACTAACACCCCACTTGGAATTATGTTGGCTACACTTTCTAACTATGACTCGAAGTCACTTTGAGAAAAGTATGCTCAGTTGCATACTTAGAATTTGAATTCCTCCAGGATGTACTCATTTGAAGGCAACTGACGGGATAAAATCAGCTCGTGGTATCCTGCCAATCTTCTTATGTTTGGCATGCGATTCGCTCCCGTAAAATGTAAGATGATGCTGCAGGATTGAACTTCACCGACCCCTAGATTATAAACAGGAAGTGAATCGGTAGAGCACGTTGACCGCTTCACTTACTTGGGAAGTACCATCAGCCAGTGACAACCGGTTGATCTCTGACGAAATCTCAGCTGAGTACGGATACAGAGGGCTAGTTTCGCATATGCCAGTTTACGCCGTCTTTGGCTAAGTAGACGTGATATCCGACTACCGACCAGAATGCGTGTGTACTGCTCAACAGTCCGCTCCGTCCTCCTTTATTTCTGGCTGGCTGGCTGGCTGTGAGACCTGGCCATTGAGAGTGGAAGACATGAAAAGATTAGCTGTCTTCGATCATAGGTGTCTGCGTTCTATCTCCCGTGTTAGTTGGTGGTATGATAAGGTGAGCAATATTGAGGTTAGGCTTCGGTCGAGTGCTAGGTAAGGCGGCGAAATCAGTCGATGAGACTGTGAAATTACATCGACTGAGATGGTTAGGAAATGTGTTACTTATGCCTAATCATCGCCTTCCTCGACAATGGGCAATGTTAGCTGATATAGGATGGTGTAGACTTCTTGACTGGTTGGGGTCCTCGGGACGGTATAAACCAATGGTTGGAAACAATTGGTGACATGGCTCAAACTCATCGTTCTCAATGGCTGGCTGGCTGGCTGGCGCAGATGCATCCACTCCTTGTGACTCATGATTTCCAATGAAACTGTTTTGTTCTTCGTTATTACTATTCCTTTGTCTCACCACACCTCTGTTTACTGTCTCTCTCTATTATGCATTTCTCCTGATTTCTTCTCTTGCTTTGTGTGCTACATGGAGTGGAGGGAGTGTGGCGACTTGAACTGGCGCACATATGTGCAAAGTTCTATGTCGAAAACTGACTGACCGACTCTTCTTCAACTGAAATTGTATGTTAAGTTTTAATAAAAAGAGAATTACAATGACGATGCATGTACCACTTGAAAGTTTATCATTTGACTGTCCAGTAAATGTGTTGGAAGCATTTACAGCTATTACAGAAAGATGCAAGAGTGCCAAAGTATTCCTTTTCCATAAGTAATTAATTGAAAACAGTTAGTTAATCGGGCTATTATTATTATTCCCCTGGGACATATATAGGTCTTCATTTCCTCAATGTAAAAGTAGGACACTCAACTCATTATTTCCGACTCTTGATCTATTTGACTGCTTGGAATATGATGCCATTCAGCGGTCTCCACAACAATAGGTGTCCAATCCATCTTCTTTGATTTTTTATTCCTCCACGTTCCCAGTGGAACATAGGGCGCCTTCAAGCTACAGGCGTAAAGTTTCTATAGCAGTGGTGTTTATTTTTACGGGATGATGGGGTTGCTAGCCGCATGTCCAACCTTTCCTCTTTATCAGCTTTTTTATTTCTGACTTAGCCAGTAAGGTAAAGGAGTGTGTCCGTGGCCGGCCGGGGATCAAATCCTGGACCATGTACAAGGTCGGCGAGCGTTCTAACCGCTGTGCCACCGACGTACATCCATCTTCATTGGGCAATATGCTCCTGGTTAATCTGTTAGTCCAGAGTTCCTTGTTGCTCATCCTTTCTGGTCTTCATTATGGAATATGAAGGCAGATGTCGATAAAAGTTTGAAGTTTTTTTGGTGGGAATTCTTTCCATGACTCATGAAGCCTTTGAACTCATTTATGAAGAACTAACTTCATATTAGTATTGAAAAGCCGGATCTTGTTCCTTATGCTGAGTGTTGTGGATTTCTACACTGGTCACAGATTAATTAAGCTCTGCCTTACTTTTCCAGCCGCGCGTTTTTAACATTCCCATCTTTACTGCTTGTAGTGTTAAAATGATGAGCTGTCTGGAAAACTGCAACAGGTAGAGCTTCTCATAGATTCCTTGACTTGATGATGACTGGCACTTCTTATTGTTGGTTGGTGAGGTATCCACATTACTTTTGTCTTCTCTGGGTCGTCTGTCTGTTACCTGATTGGTTTTTGCTTGGTAGTTTTTTAAAACATTTAAAACAATTAGTTCCCTTTATGAATTTAGATAAAGCAATAAGAAGACGTAATTTGTCTGAATCGTGTAATGTATTTGCGCAACACACATTTCGAACAATCTGATCACACACGCAGACTTGTCATTGGGAATATATATGAAATTAATAAAGAGGTAGGAGGTGAGAAAATAGACTTAGGTCAAGTTAAAAGGACATATTCAAGGTCAAAGTAACAATGAAGACCACTAAACCAAATAACAGAGGTAATAGTACATCTACTTTGGTATCAAAATAAAATTTACCAAGGAAGGTTTAATGTGATGACGAATTGTTGCTTTGAACGCATAAAGGTGGCTTAAACTTTCTAATTGCCAGCTACGGCTTCCACAAACTTCAGGATACGCCCCAAACACGTTTTATAGATAGGTTCAGAAGATCCATTAACGTCAATTTTATGTCCTGTCTCCTCTGTAATACGTTTCGTAATAGAGCAGATAGGTCTCCTGTTCTCACCATTAATGGGTTCTGAAGATTCCATTTGTTTCTGGAGCCATTTAGGAATATGTTGTGAAGCCAGCACTTACTTGCAGAGATCGATGATTTCACCCTCTGCATGTGTGTCCACACGTACATTCAAATTGGTATATACAGTGGGATGTGACATCATTTTTCGCATATTCGAAGGGGTTAGATAGATGGATATATTGGTTTCACATTCTCTATTATTATGATATTGGCTGCATAAAAGTCTTTTTAACATCAGCGTTCAGTCTTTGTCTAGTTATCAAGCTGCTTTGATGCTCCATATAGGGTAGCTTGATGTACACGTTTTTCTTAGGGGCGAGTTGGAGAGTGGGTCTTGGTGTTCCGCTCACTATTTTATATCTACTGATGAATTTGTCTGGATAATTGTTATCAACCAGAGTTTGTGTCAACTTTCTTTCATCCGCATCAAGTGTGTCTTCAGTGCATATTCGTTGGATTCTACTTGAAGAGGCACCTCACTCACTAAGGCTGCTTTGTACCGAATAGGGCAGAAACTGTGGTAATTAAGATACTGTCCTGTCGTGTCCAGGTAGGTTTTCTATAAATAGATCTTTTCATTGACCCATCAAGCCGTCCGATGACTAAGCAATATGTGTCTAGGATAGATAAACAATTATCTTCCTCTTCTACAGACAGATGTAAGTGATATGCTTGTTATTCTAAACTTCATTTATTCGATTTAAAATTGAGGTGGTAGTTTTTGCTAGCACTAGTCGTGTACATAATAAGAACTAAAAATGAAAGGAAGCATGCATCCAACATAAACCTTTGAATGAAAACACTAAATACATCTTGTTAGTAAGTCCTACAAATGGTGAAAGCCAGGAACATCAGTAGTAATAATCTATCCGTTGAATCTGTAACTGTGAAGGACTGATTTTGATGACAATTATATCAATAACAAACAATATTTATATATTATAGGTTCCCAGGCCGTAGGTGTTACGAACTTCCTGGAATAATTTGAGCGCCGAGTCAGATTGATTCATTATAAATTATTTAAATTAATCCCAGCGTGTTAAGAAAATCATAACAAGATCTGTTTCCTGAACGTTTCGCTGTGTAAGCCACAGCTTCTTCAGCAGATTTATCTGATATTTGAATCAATCTGACTCGGCGCTCAAACTATTCCAGGAAGTTCGTATCACCTACGGCCTGGAAACCTATAATGATCCTATATGTTTTAAAAGGTCATGGAGGCTCATAGAGTGTTTATTGATTTTTTCATCTGTCTTGCTTCATAAGAGTTTGCCATATAGGTGATAAGTCTATCCCTTCTCTCCTTCCTATTCACTGCATTCGATGTGGTTAAGATATACAAGCCTTCAGAAGTCAATCTTTCTTTATGTGAATGAAATCCTCTTCCAAGAATTTCGACATTGTCGAAATCAATCTTATGTCCACTGTCCATAAATGATAGCATGCACTGCTATAGCTGATCTTTTTTCTAGACTTTTTAGTTCTACTTCATTTCTAGGTGGACTTTTCGTGCATTTTTGACTATATATTTTGATGATTAATAAAAATCCGAATAAATCTGCTGGAGAAGCTGTGGCTTATACAGCGAAACGTTCCGAAAACAGATCTTGCTTTGATTTTCTTAACACCCTGGGATTAATTTACATAATTTATAATGAATATTTATTTATCAATAAGTGGAAAAAAAATAAAGCTCAAAAATTTACCCTTGTTATTGGTGACCAGTCCAACACAGAACTAGACATAAACACCATCCCATTCCTGGAAACTGTAGCCGGTGATGCATTATCAATGTTATGTACTTCAAATATAATTTTACAATTTGGAGCCATTGGAATTCTATCACCATTGGCCAGTGTCAGTGTTTTGTTATCATCTAAGACAGAGTTCAAATTTTCTATCCATATTGCATCTACAGGACCATCAAGAACAAGCCAGACATTTTCATTCTTCTTCGTCTTCAATGTTCTTCTCCACAGAGTTGAAAAAATCCCATCGGTCCAATCATTTGTTGCAACATCCAACTTGCCAAACATTTCTGGTGCTGTTATCGCTTTAGGATTCATGCGCATTTCACGATGTGGTGAACCACACTCACCCATTGCACGCATTAAACTATTAATACAACATGTTTTGCCGGCACCGGAAGGACCCAATGTCATCATACCATGGCGTACACGTTGCGTTTCAAACAGCTGAATAAAATGAAAATATATTAGGGAGCAATAAAACAACCGGCAAAGTTCTACAATAGAGTCCCAAGGAATGCGAACGCACAAACGACCTTGAGCCGACCAATCAGAAAAAAGGATGATTTTTGCATAAAATTTTACGTATTTTTACATAAATAAGCATGAAAAAAATCAAACAGGGTACTTTTCTCTAATATGAGTTAAAAAAATGTTCCAATTATTAAGAGGAGTTTCAGTTTTGAAATTAAACCAATTTCTATACATATATTCATCCAAATGACTGAAAATAACTTCGTTTTGTGATCCATTGATAGCTCGGATTCTATTTTTCAGTCTTCCCCAGAAACCTTCGATGGAATTAGTATGGGTTCCGGTGACAGGGTCGACGAAATCATTCGAATGGTTAACTCTATGATGTATATATCCGAATTGCGATAACTGGTTATATCCCGCCCATTCATCGGTGTGTATGGTAGTGCCAGGCAAAACAAGCCTCTGAATAATAGGCAGAAGAGTGCCCGCACTCCTGTCTGGAATCAGTTCAATGAATCCTTTGCGAATTTGGGTGTCATAAATTCCCAATACCCAAACGCTGTTCGCTCTAGCACGACCACGATTGTATTTCTCCTTTATCAGCACTGTTTCGTCGACGTGAACGATAACACCCACTCCTCCCTATACTTGTGTAATATTGTTCATTTTCCATGATGCTAAATCTCTACAAAACTGAAACCACTGAACAGTAGATGTCAAGGTATTTTCTGTCTGAGCCGCTGTTGACCTCACTCCGGACTTAAAAACCCAGTAATTGCACATAAACAGGATATTCGTCAACGGAAGTTTTGATTTTTCAAAGAAAGTCCCTAGAAGACAATTAACTGAGACTGTCACTTACCATTACGAACACTTATTCGTTTTCTGCACTGTGTAAATCTAAATACATATCCGTCAATGACCTGCGTATACGCCTGCAGGTTCATAGAAGCACCACAAGTACATATCCGAGTACGTGCTATTAATCCATTATCCAGACAGTACTGAAATACGTGATCTGGGTGAAATTTGCATCTCAGTAGATGAACAGCGTTCATTTTCGCGGTAGAATAATGGTAAGTTTCCTAAACCAATAACTAGCTTGCGTTCAAGGTCATTGGAACATTCACAAGGACATTGGAACATTTACAATCCTGGGACTCTATTTTTGTACTTCGCCAAACAACCTCTTTAAATTCATAGTTACACTGAATCATACTATTTCATAAAAATCAACATTTAAACTCAGGTGTTACCTGTGAGAAGCGTGACCTCCATTACATAAATTTGGAAGATTTCCTAATAATAATCAAGGATTTTTATCCCGGAGAGGGAATTCGTATCAATGCGGTTGTAACGTGGATTACTTCTAAAGGTAAGCAAAGTTCATGTATAATCCCCATCCAGGCATTAATGAAAACAAAACACGTAGTGTTCAGCGAAGAGTCTCTTTTCGACGGCGAATTCATTTTCTTAGCTGTACAATCGCAAATATATATGTATGTGTTATTTTGTATGTATGTATACAATGAGTTTATCAAACAAAAATACAATTGGTTATAGTTATTTAAACTAAACAGGTGAAGATTGGTAATTGGAGTTACGTAATACAAAATCAGTCAAGAAAATTAGGTGTTAGTGAAATTAGGGTAGTAACAAAGGTGATGAGTTGTCACAACCAGTTGTTAAAAAAAAGAAGTTATGTAATAATATGAATAGTCTGATGAGTGAGTTTTACTCAGGATGCACATAGGAACAAAGTAGATAATACGAAATTACGTAAGAGTCAGAAATAGGAAGTGAAGTGGTAAAGCACGTTGACCGCTTCACTTACTTGGGAAGTACCATCAGCCAGTGACAACGGTTTGATCTCCGACGAAATCTCAGCGCGCATACAGAGGGCTAGTTTCGCATATGCCAGTTTACGCCATCGCTGGCTTAGTAGATGTGATATCCGGCTGGCTATCGACCAAAGGGCGTGTGTACTGCTCAACAGTCCACTCCATCCTCCTTTATGGCTGGCTGGCTGTGAAACCCGGCCATTGAGAGTGGAAGACATGAAAAGATTAGCTGTCTTTCATCATAGGTGTCTGCGTTCTATCTCCTGCGTTAGGTGGTGGTGGTATAATAAGGTGAGCAATACTGAGGTTAGGCTTCGGTCGAGTGCTAGGTAGGTGGGAGGGGAAATCAATCGACGAGACTGTGAAATTACATCGACTGAGATGGTTAGGACATGTGTTACGCATGCATGCCTAGTCATCGCCTTCCTCGACAATGGCCAATGTTAGCTGATATAGGGTCAGGCTGGAAAAGAGCTAGCGTCGGTCAAACCAAAACATGGCTTCATCAGTCAATGAAATCCACAACACTTAGTTTAAGGCAGCCAGCCACGTAGGAAGGTGTAGACTTCTTGACTGGTTGGGGTCCTCGGGACGGTAAAATCCAATGAAGGCTGGAAACAACTGGTAATGATATGGCTCAAAATCGTTCTCAATGGCTGGCTGGCTGGCTGGCGCAGATGCATCCACTCCTTGTGACTCATGATTTTCAATGAAACTGTTTTGTTCTTCGTTATTACTATTCCTTTGTCTCACACCTCTGTTTACTGTCTATATTATGCATTTCTCCTACTTTCTTCTGTTGCTTTGTGTGCTACATGGAGTGGAGGGAGTGTGGCGACTTGAACTGGCGCACATATGTGCAAAGTTCTATGTCGAAAACCGACCGACCGACCGACCTTGTCAGTACTCAACCGTTTCTCTCAACTTGTAGTGTATACTGTCACTGCCATAGGTGAGTAACTATCCTCTCGCATGATTTTATGGACTCCTTATGTAAGAACTTCGAAAACCCATGCTAATCACTAGTATCTTGTGGATTCGGTATCAAGGATTACATTACAATGCATGAGTGAAAAAAGAAGACGATTTCCTGTGTGCTTGGACATTGTTAAAAAATGGAATTATATAGCCACTGCAAATAAATATGCATTCGACGAAATCCCTCCTTTACTAATTTTTATCATCAAAATCAAATCAGATATCTAGTTTTTTTTGAACTTTCATTTAACATACTTGTCAATTCCTCCTTTCCTGTCCGTCCATTGTCATTCCTTTCTTTGGGTTAAATTTATACTACTTACCTATAGTAAGTAGTATAGATGTATTTGATAAATTTTATTCATGTCTTCATTTGCTATAGAAGTTGAACTCACTCGATGTATTACTAATCTATTAATTGTATAATAGTTATTTTCTTATAGTTGAACCTTAATTGCTGTATATGCTTTATTCATGTACCCATCACTGTTGTTGAGCATTGTTCATTCGTATCTCTTTATTCTGTGTCTGGCAACCGAGGGCTGTTCAAATAACGCGTGGATCGCGTTTAACACAGCTCCACTCAGCCACAGAAACCTAACAACTGAGTTTTATATTATATTTCATGTTTAGTGTTTAGTGTATAGAACCGTATTGTAGACAAATCCTGTGTTTTCAGATTTTACGCGTGGTCACTCAACATGTTGTTTTAATAATCGTTCGATTGCCGACCCGAATTTCTCTTGGAAAATATTCAAAATACTTTTAAGGAAGAAAACTATTACATTTACAAGTAAGAATGAGCCTACAATAGTGGGGCCTTCATGGGTGTATTAAAATACTTTTGGAACGGTCAGTTGACAGACTTCTACAGTTGGGTACCAATTAGTCGCAAGCGAAACTTGATAATATCTCTGGCGACTAGAATCCGAAAAATCTGCAGTCCTGAATCAGTAGAGGAAGAGATCGCCCTTTTAAGGAAGACACTGCTCGAGAATGGCTACACACCTCGTTTTATAGACAAGCATATTAAGCCCAAGACTTACAAAGAACAACCCATTACAGTGCAGAAGAAGATGGTCTACATGAATGTACCCTTCAAAGGTGACCTTCTGGCGGACACCTTGAAGAAGAGGATATCTACTACTCTCAGAAGGACATTCTTCGCTGCCACACTACGACTGACATTTACCTCCCGGCCATTGTTCTTCAACTACTCTAAAGATAAACTATCGCATTTGACCACTTCCATGTGTATCTACCAATTCACCTGCTCTTGCGAAGCGAGGTATATAGGTCGTTCGATGCGAGTTTTATCTAAAAGACTTCAAGAACACTATCCCGCCTGGCTACGGAAAGGTAACAACGGAGCAATAAGGAACGCCATTATTGAGCATACACTCAACACTGGTCATTCGATTTGCAAGGAGAAGTCGTTCAAAGTCATCTATAAAGTCAAAAGAAGCCTTCCAAAATCGACAAGCTTCCGTATACTTTGTATTGCTGAAGCCTTAGCGATTTGGATAGAAAAGCCTGATTTATGCACACAGAAGAAACTTTTCCACCCCCTCCTACTACCGTGGGTTTAATTTCAAGTTTATCTGTCTTCAACATTTTGTTATCAAATTTATTTTGCAATTTTCGTATAGTAATTTGTTGTAACCAACCCATTCAATCTTTTCACCTATTATCTAGTTTATTTTCATAATTGTTTCCATACTCCTTCACTAACATCTAATCTTTCTAAACATGTCTATATTACGTAACCCTACTCTTATCTTACCAATCTTCACCCCACTTAGTTACAACTTTGATTATTAATCACACATTTTAATTTCTTAATTATTTTGATGATGTAATCAACATCCCACACTAACTGTTATTTTGATTTTGACAAACCTAATGTACACACACACAAAATAAATTGTATACATTTGCGACTGTACAGCTAAGTGAATGAATTCGACGAAAAGAGACTCTTCGCTGAACTAATTTGTTCTTAATTCAATGTCTTAATGGGTATTTTCGCGAATTAAAATACTTGTAGCTTAGGTAGATATTTTCGAAGTGATTTTGTTCTGTAAACTGGGTGGTTTGACTGAAAATTTTTCACCGTCCTTCTGGTCAACATTTTCGTTCGGCGTTAACTTCAATGTAAATTTAGTTGCTCTTTTTGGCTGGGGGGGGGAAGTGGGCGGATGATTCATCATGAAGGATCTAACCACCACCACCTCTTTTGATGATCCTTGTTGTGATTGGTTGTCTTCAGAGATTTTTTTATCCTTGAGGTAATTTGTATCGGTATCGGTCGTTTCATTAACTTGGAAGTTGACTTCATTTAGCCACATCTTTTACCAATTACATTATTCATGGTGAATTCCAAAAAACCCACTTAAGATTGAAGTAGGCTTTAACGATGTTGCCTAAGACGGCAGTGACAGCTTCACAATTAAACCAGTAAGCTTATAGAACACAACAACGTCAAAAATTGCTTGGAACTATTAGTAAACTGTAGATTAACGAGAGCAATTGAAAGAACTTTTAATGCCGCAAACCTGCATGTCAGTTTGTCAACTAAACCGATATTGACACTGTGCATTAACGATAGATTACCCAAAATAGTGATATCAGTATGTGTATATAAATTCAACTGCTCCTGTGGAGCTAGTTATATAGGTCGTACCCAAAGGAATTTATCTTTGCTCACTCGTGAACATATTCCAAATCATTAATTAGTGCAATTCTGTCTCATCTAGTGGATAGCGAACACTGCATCAAAGTAGATGAGTCATTTACAATTGTGTATCGATTACGGAACAATCTCCCTAAAGACACACGATTACACCTCCTAGCTATAGCTGAGGCTTTAGAGATTAAAAGAGAGAGACCAGACCTATGTGTTCAGAAAAAATTTATTCACTCTCTCTGTCTACCCTGGCCCACTATAAGGTTACCAGGATCGTAATTTTTCGTATTATTATTACCATTATTATCATTTTGTGATATCATGTCCCTATTATCCATTTCTCCACCCAGTTTATTTCACCCCATTGTTACCCTTAATTTTTGTCAACCTTTGTAATTTTATACTAAGCCTACCAATTCTGTAACATCTTATTACAATTTACAATTTAGCCTCTTTCTTATCATTAGACATTATCGGTCAGCCGTCGCATTCAGTGTCCCCTTTGTTAATGTGTGTTTGTATGTATTTTGTTGTTATCGCATTTCTCTCACCCCAATGACACTTGTATTCTGTAGACTATAAAACAGCACTATATCACCCAATTGTTCGTTCACACTTCATCACATTTTTTCTGACTATACACCCCATACAAATTTGATTGACTTTGTTAACTAACGGACTATCATCTCAACTTACACATGCACCCCAATACAGTTTCTGATATTATTTTCATTTGCCTTTATTGGCTGTATGTGTACTCTATTATTCATGGATTTATAACTGTAGAGCCTGAAGAAGAAGAAGCTATCGAAAACAATTGTTCGCTCAAAATCTTGTTTTGATTTCCATATATGGGGATTTTTCATTTACTCATTTACATAATTTCTCTTCAAGGTAGTTAGAATCAGAGATAAAATACTGCATCTGCAATTTATTATTATCATTGTTCTCTTGGGTTCCTAGTGGAACATAGAGCTTCAACTGCACGTCTCCACTTGCTTCTGTCTTCTGCTGTACTTCTCACCTCCATCCATATTATTCCATACTGTTTCAACTCTTCTTCACACGATCTTCTCCATGTCACCCTTGAACGTCCCACTCGCCGATTCCCTTTCGGGTCCCACTCGAGCGTTGGCCTGACGCGCGATGTCACCCAGTGGCCCCCTCAGCGAGTGTCCAATCCATATCCACTTTCTCCTGCATATTTGTTGAGCGACTGGTTCTTGTTTCGTTTGCTTGTTCCCATAGTTTCTTGTTGGTGATTCTTGTTCTTTCCGGCCATCTGATCTTCAGTATAGAACGAAGACAGCTGTTGATGGAGGACCGCAACAGGCTGTTGGAAATATTCTTCGTTACCCGCCAAGTTTCTGATCCATCCGTATAGAAGAACTGACTCACTTGACGTTCGTATTGAAAATCCGAATTTCGTTGTTGAGTGTTGCTGAGTGACGAAGATTTCCAGATTGGTTTCAGGTTGATGAATGTGTTTCTCGCCTTCCCGACTGTCGATTTGACATCCTCGTCCGATCCTCGTGTAGTTGAGACAATGCTCCCTAGCTAGATAAGTGAATGAAGCAACCTCTTTCAAATCCCTCCCGTTGATGGTGATTGGTGCTGGATGTTGCTGCTGCTGTTGTTGTTGGTGGTGGTGTAGTTGTTGTTGGTTATCTTCATAACCTCCGTCTTGTCTATGTTCACCTGGAGTCCTGTCTTCACCGGCTTCTTCTTCGACTAGTTTGTCGGTTTTCGCTTGTAAGTAAGTCTTCGATTTTGTGTGACATCAAACATAAATCATCCACGCGCGAAATCCAGGTCTTCTAGGTTCTTCACGTCGCCTAGATTACTGGGTCACTAGTTTTCCAGCCGGTCCCAAGCCCGGATAAAGAGGGAGGGTTGGGGCGTGGTGGTGCTAGCAACTCCACCCCGAAAACTTAACCAAATTGCTACAAAAACTTCAACGCATCTGCAATGGAATAGTTATAATAATTAATAAAAGCAGGTGGAATCTTTTGAACTTGAAGATGACTGTGACAGTCTAGAAAAAATAACACATAAGGAAACGCACACGCACACACACACACCACCTACCTGAATCACTTTTAAATTCCATGCTGGATGATTAATGCAATTCATTTGGGTGACTTGATTTCTTATCGCAGCTTGCAGCTCTGGATAGCTGATTTTATCTAATATAATGCCAGGGAATAGATCGTCGATCAATGACATAAACAATGGTTCATCACGATCGACTAATTTACTTAAATTCATATCACGTAAACATCGCATTACAGATCGGTCCTCTGAATCGTCTGGATTTGCACGTCTAGCGGCGCCAAGTGTACGCAGTACTGACAAAATATTTCTTAAACCAAAATCATAGTGGACCTAGTGAAATAAATAAATAAAAGAAAACTGATGTGTGTTTTTTTTGTCTGTTTATCACTTAATCAGTGTTACGTGTTTGCATGAATGCTAAAAAGCATAAACACACTGACACGTGACATTTCTAAGTGACAATTCACTTCCGATTTCCCAGATGATTGACTGATTGAGCCGAAATGTCTAGCCTTTGTTGATCTGTTAGAGACTTGTACAGATGTGTCGAGTTTATTAACTTGGTAGGTGGTGTAATCTAGAATGTGCACTTCGTCCTCTTTTGGACTCATCACTGCATGTATCCTCACTCCCCCGGGGAGTGATGGTCTTCTCACTGCGGCTCAAACCCAGTGCGCACAGTTTCAAACGCCGCGGCGTTATACACTAGACCGGCAATAACTGACACCCACTGCATAAGAGGTGGTCCATGTGGTCTAATGGATAGCGTTCTGGAGTCCGAACCGAAGAGCACCAGGTTCGAGCTCTTTAGTGGGAATACTATAAGTCACTGAGGAGTGAATGAGGGGATATCTAGTTGCGGAGTCCCCAATAGGACGAAATGCACATTCTGGGTTACACTGCTAGTCACCACCCACCGAAATGCTTCGAGTTTACACGATGTGTGTAACATTAGCTGCTATCATTATTATTTCCATTTCATATGTTGCATGTTTTTGACATTACCCCTATTGTAAATGTGGAAAATTTTCTGTGTGACTAATTTTTATTTATAATTTGAGGAAATTAGATGCAATTCCATTCTGTATCACAAGTACTGTTATTGGAATAAAGTAAATTATTAATATTATTATTAGTGTTATAATAAAGGTTTTCTTGTATTTCCCAATGAATGAAAAACAAAACTATGTAAACACACACTACTTTTACCATTTTTACACACTGATCAAATCCAACAGTCATCTACACTTGGTTTTGTTATCTTTACCAATTGACCAACTTGACAACAACGAAGAATGACCCCAGACTGACGAACGATGATCAAGTTAGTAAACTTTGTTTTGATACAAGCCTGTGTTGCTTGGTTTAGTGATCTTCATTATTATTTTGACCTTCAATATGTCCTCCTTTTAACTTGACCTAAGTAGTCTATTTTCTCACCCACCTCTTAACTCTTTGTTATATATATATGCTGAGTGGATTTTGTAAATTTTGGTTTAATAATACTACTTTGATAAAGTTATTAGCATCAGCATTAAATAGCGAAACATCAGTAAAAGCGACAATTTCGTTTCGTTCTTTTTCATTCATTCATTGGGAAATACAAGAAAACAACCTCTTTTATCATGAATATCATATACCACCCAAAGCCCAAACTCTTTTTCTCAAACTTCTAAAAGTGAACTTGGTTTGCAGACATATATATATATATCAGTAAAAAGTTTGAGCATTGTGGATTAGATCAAATAAAGTATAATTATATTTCAATAGTTTACACACAATGATAAGTTTTGTTATTGGTAATATTTCGAGCAAAATTATTGTTGGAATTGTTTGATTCACACATTTATGATTTGTACTCATATAGTTCATTATTTTTGCTCATTCATGTTTTTTGTATTTGAGTTATATTCCACGTTCATTCATGTTTTTCTATTCAGAAATATATTCCAAGTTGTTGATAGTTGTACTGAGTCACCCTTGTTACATGTATCCGGTGTGACGTTAATGAATATCGACTCTGTTATAAGTCTTTCTTTCCATTTGTTCATGTTAGTTTTTAGAATACACACAGTGTTTCAATCGATATTGTGGTTTTTGTCCCATGCATGTGCAGCTATCGATGAATTTTTTTCAAGATTTTTGTAGCCTTATGTTCCTGTTGGTTGACCTTTGGTTAGGCGTTTATGTTCATTCAGTCTTATTTTGAGTGATCTGGACGTTTGCCCCACATATTTAGTTGGACAGTCAGCACAATATATTTCGTAAATCAAGTTGTTTTTATCCATCATTTTTATGGGATCTTTCATTTGATTTATTTTATTTTTGATGAGATTTGTCGGTTTGAAAGTTGTGTGAATGCCGATATTTCTCAGGTTTCTTTGAATTGCCCCTGATGTACCATTTTTATATGGTATTGTGACTGTTTTTTTACATTCTTCCATCTTGTTATTCTCCGGTTTTACCCTCTTTTTCCTCTTTTTTATATTATCTTTTATAAATTCTTTTGGGTAGTTGTTTTCGAGTAGCATTTTGAATAGGACGTTTATTTCTTTACACTGGACCTCTGGCGTTGTTGTAAGTCTACGTATTCTATCTGCAAGACCTTGTATTAATCCTCGTTTCACGGTGAGTGGATGAGCTGAGTGATAATCAAGTTATCTTCCAGAGTGTGTGGTTTTTCTACATAGCGTCGTTTTAATGCTACCATCTATTAGGCAGTTCCCCAATTTCATTCTCTACTTCCATAGTGAATCTTATTGAGTCGACATGGCTGTTTATGTGTGTGAGAAGAGTTTCTCAATATCGTTATTTTCACTATTACTAGTGTGTCGCCTACATATCTCCACCAAAATTTTAGTGATGACCTGAATGGTTTAAGGGCATTCTCTTCCCAAATATCCATGAAAATGTCAGCTATTATTGGTGAGATAGGCGATCCCATGGCTACTCCTTCATTTTGTTGGTATATTTTCCCTTCGAATGTGAAATATGTTGTTGTCAGACAGAATTCCACCCCGTTTATTGTTATCTCTTCTACGGATAACTGTGTTCTGTCTTCTAGGCCATTATCTTCTTTTAGTTTCTCTCTCATTGCATTCATGGCCATTTGAATGGGTATTTTCATATAGAGACTGTTTACATCAAAGCTGACTAGTATTTCATCTTCCTCTATTTTAGTGATTTTTAATCGCTTCACTAATTCAAATGAATCTACTATTCTAGCTTTTGAGTTGTCTCTTGTTGGTCTTAGTATTGTCGAGAGAAATCTTGATAGCATATACGTCGGTGTGTTTCTAAAGTCTACAATCGGTCTTATTGGATATCCCTCTTTATGCAATTTTATCTTGCCATATATATTCTAGGTATATTGCATGATTTTGGCATAATTTCAAACCATTTTGACTTACCGATTACTTCTTTCATTTGTCTGACTACCTTTGCTGTTTCTTTCATTGTTTTGTTTGTGATTATTTCAGCTGACTTCGTCATTAGGGTATAGGGTCCAGATTGTAGATGTTCATTCATCTTTTCATTATATGTCGTTTTGTTAAGTATTACTGTTGTGTTTCCATTGTCTGCTTGAGTAATGACAATGGATTTGTCTGCTTTTATGTCTTGGAGTGCTTTTAGTTCCTCCTTCGTAACATTCAGTTTTTCTGCTTTTTGCTTTTTTATGGTTAATGCACATTGTGCTCGTACCAGTTCTGCTTCCTAAAATCTGTTACGCGCATGTTCACTGAAATTTTTATATTGACTCTTATTTATTTTTTACGAGTTGATGACGGATTGATATCATTTAGAGAACCATTGAAAACCAGGGAGTACTGGACAGCTGCTGTTTCATCCTGCACCGGGATTCAAACCCAGGACCTTCCGTTTACAGGGCAAGCTCGTATACCATTCAGCCACTGGGACCCGATTCAATGGCTCATGAATTCTAACTTCTACCAATTCGTGATTTATTTATTTATTTATTCGTTCATATGTCTAATCATCAGTTTGTTATTCGTGTGTATAAAGGATATCATAAAGCTGTGTGAGTAGTGCCCTGATATGATTATAAGCAATGCATTATGCTCCAAAATGTTGTCATCAGTGTTAAATATTACTTACTATACAACACTGTGTGGAATGATACTCTACCACAATGGCCACATTCTATTCTTTAAATTAGCAACTAAACTATGTGAATACATTTGGATTTCGTTGACAGTCACCCGAAAAATTCTTTGACTCACCTGTTTCGTTAATTGTTCTTCACACAGTTTATAAAGTACATAAAATTTTCTTGATAGAATTATATTTTGCACGAAACCACAAGCAGCCAATTTTACTCGAATAATGATTTGTCTATCAGGAACCATCATTGATACAGAACGGAAGTTAATCTTTAAATTCTCCGGTAATTCTTGACGTCCAGCATAACCTGGATTCTGTGTGGGATAATATGTAAAAAATACATAAAGGCGAAGAGTTTCTAAGTTTAAAAACAAGCTCTCTGTGTAAAGATGTCTGACTGTGCGATATTTAGTATGAAAAATTCCCATTCAAACATTAATAGACAGAAGACAAGTAGTTCAGTGAAGAGTCTCTTTTCGGCGAATTCATTTCATAGCTGTGCAATCGCAAATATATATGGTTGTTGTGTATGTGTGTTTACATTAAATTTATCAAATGAAAATGCAATTAGTAAGTTCAGATGAATTGGATGTTGATATAACAGGGTAGCAACAGAAGTGATGAGTTGTCACAAACGATTGTTAAAGAAGAGTTACGTGTAATAACATGAATAGTTTAATGAAAGAGTTGTACTCAGGGTGTACATGGAAACAAAATATACGGAATTACGCAAGTGGTAGTTAGAAATATATGTATACAAAGAAAAGTTAAGTGAAATCAACAAAGTTGTTACCATGGGAGTAGAAGTGGTTGAATAATTTTCTTTTGTATGCACAGTTCTGGTTCCTCTAGCTTAATGGCTACGGCTTCTGCGATGCAAAGAAGACGGAATCGTACTGTCTTTGAAAGTTTGTTCTTCACTTTGTAGATTACTTTGAAGGAGATGTTTGTTGAGATGGAATGACCAGTGTTGACGAGATGTTCTATTATTGCACTCCTTATGCAGCGATTACTTCCTTTCTGTAGCCACGCTGGATAGTGTTCTCTGACCCTTTTTGACAGGATACGCGTTGAACGACCGATGTACCTGGCTCCACAGAAGCCCTAGCCATTAAGCTAGAGGAACCAGAACTGTGCATACAAAAGAAAATTATTCAACCACTTCTACTCCCATGGTAACAACTGTGTTGATTTGACTTAACTTTTCTTTGTTTGTTTGTTTCATTTGACTTAACTTTTGTTTGTATGCTTATTTTTCTACTTAAAACCCTTGTGTAATTCTGTATATTAGCTGTCCTCGATCATAGGTGCCTGCGTTCAATCTCCCGTGTGAAGTGGTATGATAAGGTCAGCAATAATGAGGTTAGGCGTCGAGTGGTAGGTAGGTGAGAGGGGAAATCAATCGACAGGGCTGTGAAATTACATCGACTGAGATGGTTGGGACCTGTGTTACGCATGCATGCCTAGTCATCGCCTTCCTCGACAATGGCCAATATTAGCTGATATAGGGTCAGGCTGGAAAAGAGCTAGCGTCGGTCAAACCAAAACATGGCTTCATCAGTCAATGAAATCCACAACACTTAGTTTAAGGCAGCCAGCCACGTAGGAAGGTGTAGACTTCCTGACTGTTTGGGGTCCTCGGGACGGTAAAAACCAATGAAGGCTGGAAACAACTGGTAATGATATGGCTCAAAATCGTTCTCAATGGCTGGCTGGCTGGCTGGCGCAGATGCATCCACTCCTTGTGACTCATGATTTTCAATGAAACTGTTTTGTTCTTCGTTATTACTATACCTTTGTCTCACACCTCTGTTTACTGTCTATATTATGCATTTCTCCTACTTTCTTCTGTTGCTTTGTGTGCTACATGGAGTAGAGGGAGTGTGGCGACTTGAACTGCCGCACATATGTGCAAAGTTCTATGTCGATATCCAACCGACCGACAAGTCAAGTAACAAGTTGATGCCTGAGATATATTCGAAATTGACGAGTGCCACCTCTAGCAGTACATGATGAAATTTTTTAAAAATTGGTGAAATCGAGCTTCCATGACTCACTCACTTATTATGATAACTCTCCGTAAGCTCTTGCATCATTGCATCATTTCTAATAGATATGATTAATAAAGCTTAGTTCAACCTTAAAACGCACTAGGTTTTCTCTGCTTTGCTTTTTTTCCGCAAGCCCCACTTAATCTTAGCAGGATTATGAAATCCAGAATCTTAGAAACTATGGTAGAGTCAAGCTAACCTAACCTTGATCTAGTCAATAATTTGTCAGTGACAATCACTGAACACCTCTGAAGTTATTCGATCTAAACTGGATTCAATATTGGTCATTAGTGTGGTACCACATCTTATCGGATAGAGGGTGCTTGCTAGTTGACAATTTGTACCTTTATGGAACTTTTCTTATCACTTGTCATTTATTATCAAGGCGTATATCAGTTACTCAGGAAACTCACATTGCCTCCGAGGTCTGAACCATTATCACTCTGCTCTGACTATATATGTCTAAGCTACTCAGAAGATGATTGACCATTCACATGGCTGTATTCTATATATACATATATATATATATATACATATATATGTGAATCACGCAGTAAAACATCAATTTCCAAGCACGACTTTCTGTGGCCAGACTTCTGCTGATATCCAGAAGCACACTGTAGTACACGAAAGTGCTCAGCGATGTTCTAGCATTTATATTAGCGATTGCACTAGACATTTAATAAAGGAAATGTTCGCCATTAACCTGCGGAGAACCATACAGTTGCACTGCTTACCATCTAGTGACAGGGTTGCATTCTTAATTTTCTGATTGAATCCAGTATACTGCATATAATGGCAAATCTTCTTCTGCTTTGCTTACAAAAGCCGGTGTTCCTCAAGGTGCCATCCTCTCTCCTTTTCTTTTTTCTTTCTTCCTACACGACCTGCCTCATTTAAACGAAACTGGCTTTGTCAAATATGCTGATGATCTGATTGTATCACTGCATATCACTTCCAAGTCTGACTGCTCCAAACTTAATAGCTTTCTGTTGGACATCAGCAAGTGGTCTAATTCAAATGGTCTTATGTTAAATCCTTCCAAATGTCAGGCAGTTAACTTTACTTTCAAGCATTGTCGTGGCATACATGAACTAGTTAGTTCCCATGATGCCTGCAGCATAGATGGCAAATTGAAATGGCACGGAAATTGAAACCAAGTCAAGCATTAAATACTTTGGATTAGTTCTTTCCTCTGACCTTTCAGGGTCATCCTACATCTTATTAATCTCTAAGAAAATGTTTCGTCTTACCTTCTACATTAAAAAGTTAAGACAATTAGGTATCAACCAACCTTTACTTCTGCAGTTTGTAAACTCCTGTATTTTACCTATTATACTCTACTGTTCTCCATTAATCTTTCCTGGGCTTCTTAAAAAAGGCTATGTCATATTACGAAGTGTATTAAATGCTGTGAGTAAGGCTTGAGGTTTGCCACTGCGTGACCTCGCCAATACTATAGTCGAGAGACACGTAAATTCCTGTACAAAGTGGGCAAAGATCGTACTGTTAGACCCTCTGCACCCCCTTTATTCACAACTATCCCCTTGTATCTCATCAGGTAGGACGAGAAGTCAATATAAGAAGAAGTTATATGCTCGAACCACTAAGTACAAAAATTCTACAATACCGTATTTAGCCCGTATTTTATGTGATGGAGACAATCACTTTTAGACGTGAAACATATAAGTTACTATATAATTAGCAAAGTGAATCGACCCTTTTATTGTTCATCTTTCTGTAATTTTATTGTGTCAACCTTTCTATCGTCTAATTATAACTTTGCTATTTTATTTTAGTTGTTATTACTATTAGTACTACAATTTTATACTTTGTGCATATTTTTCTCCGTATTGCATACAGAAATTTATAAAATAGCTGCTATAACAATGTTTTGTTATTATTATTATTATGTAATGTTTACTTTTTATTTTTTATTTTTTGTCGTTTTTGAGTAAATTAGATGCAACATTGTAGTGAATGTTGAAAATTCCTTGCTGTATCATTAGTACTGTTTTTGGAATAAAAGCAAATTATTATTTTTATATTTCACAACTATTTCAGATAGCTATCAACAACCGGTTTGCCTTCTCAAAATTTCCATAAGCTTTGCCATTTACTTGGAGGAAAGGTGTATCGCTTTGCATGTAGTTGAAGGATTTATTTTGAATTTATTTAGCCGTAGAATCGACTTCCAGAAATAGCGCTATGTGTAACTGATATGATACCCAGAATCACGCCAATTTTACAGGGGTAATTTTTGACAAAACATTTCATAAACATTTTTTTAAAAACTTCATAGAAGCTTCCTTTCAAATAACCAATGACAAAACATGCTCACTTACCATTTTTACGAGTTGATCATGGATTGATATCAGTTAGAGAACCATTGAAAACCAGAGAGTACTGGACAGCTCCTGTTTCATCAGCCTAGTTTGGGAATCATCGGCACCCATTGGGATTCGAACCCAGGACCTTCCGGTTAAAAGGCAAGCTCGTTCGGGTCGCGCTAAATCACGAACTGGTAGAAGTTAGAATTCATGAGCCATTGAATCGGGTCCCAGTGGCTGAATGGTATACGGGTTCGAACCCTGGCAGTGGGTGCGTACTGCCGATGATTCTCAAAGTAGGCTGATGAAACAGCAGCTGTCCAGTACTCCGGTGCTGGATTTCAATGCTTCTCTAACTGATATCTATCCGTGATCAACTCGTAAAAACATAACTAACCCTTACAAACCAAACTATAGAAAATCACTTACCATTGTTAGAAAAAGTCCAAATTCTGGATTCAGGTCGACATTGTCACCATCAGAGAAGATAAATGATGTTTTGCCTTCACGTTTAGCTGACAGAATGATAGCAATTTGTTGTGCTGCAACCGATAATACAGGCAGTTCAATTCGATTGAATTCATCAAAGCATCCCCATGAACCTGATTGAGCTAAGCCTTTGAAAATTCTTCCTAGACCACGAAAATCCATTTGATCTGAACAGTTGAACACTACAACATATTTGCCTAAACATCGTCCCATATCCTACAAGTGCAAAGTTAGTGAATAAAATTAACACAGTGGTTAAAATGAGACACTCACGAAACTGTTCCTTTTTAACTAGATAAATTCACCAATTATTCGAATTTTTCATAGTGCAGTTATCTATTAGAGATGTTAAACTAGTCACAGGCAAAGTTCTACAATAGAGTCCCAAGGGATGCGAACACATTAGTGACCTTGAGCCGACCAATCAGGAAAAATGGCGATTTTTGCATAGAAGTTTACGTATATTTTCTCTAATATGAGATAAAAAAATCTCCCAGTTATGCTGAGGGGTTTCAGTTTTTAAATTGAACCAATTTCTATACATATATTCATCTAGGTGACTGAAAACAACTTCGTTTTGAGATCCGTTGATCGCTCTGATTCTATTTTTCAGTCTTCCCCAGAAGCCTTCGATTGAATTGGTATGAGTACCGGTCCTGGGGTAGACGAAGTCATCGGAATGGTTGACTCGATGATGTATATAACCCATTTGCGATAATCGGTTGTATCCTGCCCATTCATCTGTGTGGTAAGACGAGTCTCTGGATAATTGGCAGAAGAGTGTCAGCACTTCTATCTGGAATAAGTTCAATAAATCCTTTTCGAATTTGGATGTCGTAAATCCCCAATACCCAAACGTTATTTGCTCTAGCACGTCCCCGATTATATTTCTTCTTAATAAGGACCGTTTCGTTGATATGAACCACAACGCCAACTCCTCCTAAAACTTCTGTAATACTGTTCATTTTCCATGACGCCAAATCTCGACAAAATTGGAACCATTGCACAGTAGACGTCAATGTATTAGCTGTGTGAGCCGCAGTAGATCGCAACCCGGACTTTAAAACCCAGTAATTGGACAGAAACAAGATATTCGTCAAAGACAGTTTCGACTTTTCAGAGAAAGTTCCTAGAAGACAACTAATTCAGAGTGTCACTTACCAGTACGCACACTTATTCGCTTCCTACACTGTGTACATCTGAATACATATCGATCAGTGACCTGGGTATACGACTGGAGGTCCATGGAAGCACCACAACCGCATATCCGAGTAAGTCATTGGAACATTCACAAGGTCATTGGAATATTTACAATCCTGGGACTCTATTCTTGTACTTCCCCTAGTCACACTCCTACTCATTTGTTAATAGAAAGAAAGAATTAGTTCACTACTAACTATAGTAAACAAGTAGTATATTCAGATATCCACAAAAGTAGCATAATTTTCTTTCACACATGGGGTAAATTGATTATTAACTAACGAGGTACTTCAATAATATGTATAGATAAGAAATCACCAGTTGGGAGATTAGAATAGCCCCCTGAACATCATAACAGACGCTTAAAAGCTGACAACTTCCACCTGCCCATATTGTCATTTACAACTTATTATTATTACTATTATTATTATTGAATTAGTTGTGTTCTCTGAGCTGCGAATTCTCAATAAGCAAGGCCACTAGCAGAAGATAGAATTAAGGGGACACTAGATGGGGTCCCTGTGGCTGCATGGTTTATGAGCTCGTTTCAACCCCAATGGATGCCTGCTGCCGAAGAGTCTCAAACTAGGCTGACAAAACAGCTGTCCAGTACTTGAAGCCAGGTGAGGGCTTACGGTGAGTTGTCATCTGAAGTGGTGACGACTAGCGGCGTCCGTCAAGGATGCCTATTATCCCCATTCCTATTCAACTTCATCATAGATGTACTAATGGACTTAACCCTAACACACTTCAGCGACTCAGAAATTGACTTGCTACCAGGGAATAATCTCGTTGACTTAGAATATACAGACGATATAGTCCTTCAAGGCGAGGACGCTGACAAAATACAGCAGAGTCTTCTGAACACCTTGAGCAACAATCTTCTTATGTTTGGCATGCGATTCGCCCCTGTAAAATGTAAGATGATGCTGCAGGATTGGACTTCACCGACCCCTAGATTAGAAATAGGAAGCAAAGTGGTAGAGCACGTTTACCACTTCACTTACTTGGGAAGTACCATCAGCCAGTGCCAACGGCTTGATATCTGACGAAATCTCAGCACGAATACAGAGGGCTAGTTTCGCATATGCCAGTTTACGCCGTCTCTGGCGTAGACGTGATATCTGGCTGGCTGGCTGGCTGGCTATCGACCAGAGGGCGGGTGTAATACTCAACAGTCCGCTCCGTCCTCCTTTATGGCTGGCTGGCTGCGAGACCTGGCCATTGAGAGTGGAAGATATGAAAAGATTATCTGTCTTCGATCATAGGTGCCTGCGTTCTATCTCCCATGTTAGTTGATGGTATAATTAGGTGAGCAATACTGAGGTTAGGCACCGGTCGAGTGCTAGGTAGGTGGGAGGGGAATCAATCGACGGGGCTGTGAAATTACATCGACTGAGATGATTAGAACATGTGTTACGGATGCCTAGTCATCGCCTTCCTCGACGATAGGCAATGTTAGCTGATATGGGGTCAGGGTGGAAAAGAGCTAGTGGCGGTCAAACCAAAACATGGCGCCAGTCAATGAAATCTACAACAGTTACTCTAGGCCGCGTAGGAATGTGCAGACTTCCTGACTGTTTGGGGTCCTCGGGACGGTAAAAACCAATGAAGGCTGGAAACAATTGGTGACATGGCTCAAAATCGTTCTCAATGCCTGGCTGGCTGGTGCAGATGCATCCACTCCTTGTGACTCATGATTTTCAATGAAACTGTTTTGTTCTTCGCTATTACTATACCTTTGTCTCACACCTCTGTTTACTGTCTATATTATGCATTTCTCTTGCTATGTGTGCTACATGGAGTGTGGCGACTTGAACTGCCGATTGTACAGCTAAGAGAATGGGTTCGCCGGAAAGGCCAGTGAAAATAAACGAAATGATACAAAAATTACTTAAAACCAGCGTGCTTAAGAGGAAATGAAAAGAAGAATTTTCTGAACGTTTCGCTGTGCAAGCCATAGCTGCTTCAGCAGAAATGATCAGAGATTAAAGAATATGAGTGTTTTAATAATTAACACCTGGTTTTTGTGCACTCAGCCGGGAGAGTTTTTGAACTGGCGTCTATCGCCTCAGGATATTTCAGTCTGCACCACTGACGGTTTTTTATAAATAATCTCGAAAGCCGCTTTAATATCAATCAATAATCTTTTCATTCATATCAATTAAGTGTTTTGGTATCGACGAAATATGGTAGTCTGCCATCTGCTTTTATCAAGGTTTCAAAGTTGGCTGGTTTCCCCAACTATTTATTATTATTGCTTCCTTCAATTCCTAGAGGAACATAGGGCTTCATCCGTGTGTCTCCATTGCGTTCGGTTCTCTGCTACAGTCTTCACCTGGCTCCAAGTCTGCCCACACGCTTTCATCTCCTCTTCACATGACCTCCTCCAAGTCACACTTGGACGACCAACTCGCCGCTTCCCTTTCGGGTTCCACTCGAGCAATGGCTTGTCTAGTGATGTGACTTGATGGTTTCCTCAAAGTATGACCAATCCATCTCCATTTCTTCCTACCTATTTGTTTCACAATCGGTTCCTGCTGTGTTGGTTGGTTCGCTCATTGCCAGAGATCCCACCCTGTTGCTGATCTTTTCTCACCGTCGGCCATCTGATCTTGAGTGGTATTGAGCGAAGACAACTGTTAATGAAGGTCTGTAGTTTGTTTGAGATGCTCTTTATGACGCGGTGGCCAAGTCTCTGATCCTTTTAGCAAGTAGCTCTGACTGACTTCACATTACAGTTGCAAATCCGGATCTTAATTTTGATGCTGAGAGTTGTTGACCTCCACACAGACTTGAGAGTAGTGAAATCTTGTCTTGCTTTTCCGATTCTTGCTGCTTTGATATCCCCGTCAGTAGTGTCCGCCTGTAGTTGAAATGATGCTTCCCAGGTAGGTAAAGGAGGTTGTTTCTTTCAGGTTCCTCCCATATATGCCAGCTGATTGTTGTCTGTCGTTGATGTTCTTGTCCAGGAATCTTCATCACCTCTGTTTTCTCTATGTTCACCTGAAGTCCTTCCTATCTTTGATGCTTCTTCTGCCAACTTGTTGCTTTTCACTTGCATATTTGGATATATTTTATCTCACCTTCACGTGGAAAGCGCAATTACTTCTCCCTGCGTATGGGATATGTTATAACCCCTTGAGCAATATTCAGCCTTGTGGTACACGACGTTTTGGTTTTGGCTTCTTCGACAATTAGAAGCCAAGTTGCCCAGTAAGTTTACCCGATGACAGTATCTGTTTGAAAATCCCAGTATTTATTACCCACTTGTAAGTTAACTTGATGTAGATACCTTTTTCGGGGACAGACTAGACCGTAGGCTAGTAATGTTATATACATATTTTTTTCAATATAGCAAAAATATTCATTCAGACATCTATAAAACACGAAATAATCGAGCAAAGAATATTCTTTTCGATAAATTCCTCCTCTTCTCGCTCTACAATTATATATGCATGTTTATACACATAGAATATTCTAGATTAGTAGTCAGTAACAATATTAGTGTTTTAGTGTTTTAAATAATATCGATTTGTTAAGTAAGATCACAATGGAATCACCACAGTTCATTAAAGATGCTTAAATTACAATAATAATGATATAGATATAATAGCGAATAGAATATCAACTAAAATATGGAAAATTCCACAAAAATTCAGCACCAATCATTGAAACCTAGATGGCCAAGCGGGTAAGGATAATGTCTGAACCAACCAACTTCTTCTTTTGGATGCACAAATTAGGCTTGTTAATCTGGATCCCAACACAGCCAACCAGCCAGCCTCAGCAATGTATTTAGTAGTCGAACTCATAAGGCGAAATTGAGATTTGTTGGTATGGAGTAAATGACCCTGAAAGGCGCCTCCTTGTTAACATCAATCAGTCTTGTGTTCTGTATGCACAAAAAGATGAGTGAGATAGAATAATAGCGCTGTGAATAGATTTTGTTTATCCTTTGCTTAACCAGGCAGGGTGATGTTCGGAAATTCGACAAGAAACACGCCTGATTGTACGGCCTATGTAACTGGCTCACTCGACAGGAGCAGTTAAATTGGTATATACACATGGAAGAGGCGATATTAGGAAGTTTGTCTTTTACTCCCGAACGCAGAAGAGGAGTGGTTTTAAAGATACAGCGTAATTGAGCAGCAGGGAATGCTCTTCGTTCTAGCGCATTTCTAAGGCACTGTGTTAGTATCTCACTGGTGTTGTCTCCTAGGAACTACATCTGTAAGAACAAGGCCTTTTTTGGAACTGTTGGTAACTTGGGCTGTTTTGGTTTCAGATTCAGATTCTTGTCAATAAACGTTTCTGGATAACCATTTTCACTCAGCAACCGTTTAATATTGTTAAGTTCCTCGTCAAGACATTCATCCGAGCAAATCTCTCTTGTTCTATGGACCAAGCACTTTATTAGATTGTGTACTGGCTGAATTTGTCGTCTTTCGAATGGCAAAATGTAGTTTAATGTATGTAAACATCCGTGCTACTTAGACTACAATAAAAATAAACCTGCCTTCATGACAATGACAAAGAAAAAAAAAAAAAAAAAACAATACAACTGTACAAACCATTTAGTAGTTGAAGATATTATTTACCTTGACAGTTTCAGTTTTTCCAGTTCCAGCTGGACCAGCAGGTGCTCCACCCAAATTCATATTTAATGCTTGAGCCAATGTTATGTAACATCGGTCTGTCAATGGGGTAATTACTAAGCGTTCTGTACAACCAAGGAATTCATTTTGATAAACAAAATCCACATCAGTAATTGATATTACACATTTATCGACATTTTCCATAAAATATGTACGTGTCTGTTTTGTCCATTCAAAGTCCATAGATGAACGTATACCCAATTTACACTAGATATGACAGGAAATAAAACTTTGTTACAGGCCATACATAGAACAACACTATTTATTTATAGGATAATATTTTTGCTTTATAAGTTGCTATAAGGTTTATTGAAATGAAAAACTGACTATGAACGAAATATTCCCATATTGAGTCATAAGAAAAAGGCACAAACAGCGAAGAAGAAAATTTTCTTTTTGACGATTCATTTTCATGAGCTGCTGTACAATCGTAATTATATAATTAACAAAGAAATCTTTAGACCAATCAGATACTGGTAAATTTTGTCCTTGGAAAATTGTATTACATAATGTAAGGTGCAACTGAAGGGATGACTAATTGTAAGTTAGAAAGGAGACAGAAGTCGTCGGTATGACGTAATAAGTGTGAGATAGTGAATAATCAATAAGCTCGTGTAAAAATGGACAGGAACTAGTGGAAAGGCTATAAAGTGTTTTTGTATAAAATATGTATGAAAAGCAAATGTTATTAATAAACAGTAATAGACTGGTAATAAAATGTGGATGATGGGAATAATAATGGTAATAAAAGTATTAGTAATAATAATAATAGTAATAATAATAATAATAGTGAACTTACATAATACAGGAAAGAAGCAAAATTGTGGTAAGAACTTTACTCTGGCCATGGTAGGGCAAGAGAATGTATTTATCGCTTTTGTATGCAGAGGTCCGGTTTCAAATCTCGAATAGCTAATGCTTCAGCTATGTACAGATGGCGAATCCGAAGTCCCTTTTTAGGGTATTGAGGGACTCTGTGTAACAATGTGAAGCATTCTTGTGCGGGTGCTCGATGTTCACAGATGACAAGGTGATCGAGGATCGAGCTGTTGCTATTCTTCTTTTCTCCTCTGGCTGGATAACCAAGCTGGGCAGTGTTCCAGAATATGTTTGTGGACTTGACGTTGCGTACGGCCAATATACTTTGCTCCGCACGAGCAAGTAAATTGATAAATACACATTGAAGTGGCCAAAAGCGGTATCTTGTCCATTATTATATAAGTTCACTATTATTACTATTATTATTTTATTTTATCAATACTTTTTTATTATCATTATTGTTCCCACCATCCACATTTTATTACCAGTCTATTACTGTTTATTAATAACATTTGCTTTTCATACATATTTTATACAAAAACACTTTATAGCCTTTCCACTAGTTCCTGTCCATTTTTACACGAGCTTATTGATTATTCACTATCTCACACTTATTACGTCATACCGACGACTTCTGTCTCCTTTCTAACTTACAATTAGTCATCCCTTCTTGCACCTTACATTATGTAATACAGTTTTCCAAGGACAAAATTTACCAGTATCTGATTGGTCTAAAGATTTCTTTGGTAATTATATAATTACGATTGTACAGCAGCTCATGAAAATGAATCGTAAAAAAGAAAATTTTCTTCTTCGCTGTTTGTGCCTTTTTCTTATAAAACTGACTATGTCAAAAAATACTTTGAGATGAATAGCTTGAAATGTGTGTTGAAGTGTTAAGTTGATTATTCCGATGAATCAGATAAGGACTCACTTGATGACAGTGGGTCGGACACTGGGATTTCAGTTTCTCAACATACTACTCAACATAGATGTCATAGGGAAAGTAATTTAGCTGATAAAGCTGAGAAGATTTTCGCTCACCTTTTAGTTGATTTCTGCAAGAGGAAGTGATCTCAATGAATGACCTTTCCTCACAGCTGACAGCAGCTTGTTTTGTGTATTATTGATTACACGTGTGTTTTAATGTAGGGACTCTGTTGCCTTGTTTTTTGTTTTTTCTAGGCCGTAGGTGTTACGGACTTCCTGGAATAATTTGAGCGCCGAATCAGATTGATTCATTATAAATTACTTAAGTTAATCCCAGCGTGTTAAGCAAATCAAAACAAGATTTTTCTCAACGTTTCTCTGTGTAAGCCACAGCTTCTTCAGCAGATTTATCGGATTTTTATTAATCATGAAAATACATAGTCAAAAATTTTACATAAATTGAAGACAGTTTATTTGAAGGTCATTTGTCCATCGTAAACATGATCCTACATGTTTTAAAAGGTCATGGAGGCTCATAGAGTGTTTATTGATTTTTTCATCTGTCTTGCTTCATAAGAGTTTGCCATATAGGTGATAAGTCTATCCCTTCTCTCCTTCCTATTCACTGCATTCGATGTGGTTAAGATATACAAGCCTTCAGAAGTCAATCTTTCTTTATGTGAATGAAATCCTCTTCCAAGAATTTCGACATTGTCGAAATCAATCTTATGTCCACTGTCCATAAATGATAGCATGCACTGCTATAGCCGATCTTTTTTCTAGACTTTTTAGTTCTACTTCATATCTAGGTGGACGTTTCGTACATAGTCTGTGTTCATTCACTCTGACCTTCACCTGTCTACTGCTCTCCCCTATATAGCATGCTTCACACTCTGAACACTTTATCCTATAGACACAATTACTTTGTGACATTTTGGGAACCATATCCTTGACATGCACCAACGCTTTCTCCAGAGAATTACAGGGTTTGACATAGACTTTAATATTATATGAAGCAAATAGTCTTTGAAGTTGTTCAGCTATGTCCTTTCGATATGGAATGACTGTCACCGATCGGTAGCCAAGATTTTTCAAATTTTGTTTTCCTTTCTGCTCCTTTCTATTGATAATATTATCTAGTAGCTTTTCAGGATAACCATTTCCAATCAAAATCTGTTTTATGTTGGATATCTCGTTCTCCATATCGTCATTATCTGTTATAATGTTTCTAGCTCTGTTAACGAGATTAAAAGCTACCGAAACTTTCATTCCTATTGGATGGATGATCTGATTGGAAATTCAAATACTTGTTGGAACGTGTCGGCTTTGTGTATATGGTAAACTTTAGTTTTTTTTGCATGTTCATTCGATGGACACATATCCTGTGATTAGCCTCACTCTCCACCTAAATTTATTACTTAAACCTTATCTCATTTTCAAGGTGCGACTAAACAGACGCACACGCATAAAACGACCGAGTTTCATGTGATCTACTCAGCTTAGTGGCATCTGCAATTGTGGAACTAGACTAATTTCGACGACTCTGATCTACCGACGTGACCTATGTATTTAACCATACAGTTATTAAATGGCATTTAGTAAATCAAGTTATTTTGTCTAATTGAGGCAATATAATTCTGAAGACGAGAAAATTCGACTTTCACTGCATACGTATGTGTGAATGCCACAATACTATTATTATTGTTTCCTTGAATTCCTAGAGGAATATAGGGCTTCAGCCGTGCGTCTCCATTGCGTTCGGTTCTCTGCTACAGTCTTCACCTGGCTCCAAGCCTGCCCACACGCTTTCATCTCCTCTTCACATGACCCTCACACTGACGACCAACTCGCCGCATCCCTTTCGGGTTCCGCTCAAGGTCTTGTCTAGTGATGTGACTTGATGGTTTCCTTAAAGTGTGGCCAATCCATCTCCATTTCTTCCTGCTTATTTGCTTCACAATCGGTTCCTGGTTGATACGTTCCCAAAGATCCCTGTTGCTGATCTTTTCTGGCCATCTGATCTTGAGTATTGAGCGAAGACAACTGGCTGTTAATGAAGGTCTGTAGTTTGTTTGAGATGCTCTTTATTACGCGCTGGCCAAGTCTCTGATCCTTTTAGCAAGTAGCTCTCACATTGGAGTTGAAAATCCGGATCTCATTTTCATGCTGAGTGCTGAGTGCTGTTGACCTCCGCACAGGCTTGAGAGTAGTGAAAGCTTGTCTTGCTTTTCCGATCCTCACTGCTTTGATATCCTCGTCAGTTCCGTCTGCCTGTAGTTGAAACGATGCTTCCTAGGTAGGTGGGTGAAGGAGCTTTTTTCTTTCAGGTTCCTTCCATTTATGCTGATTGTTGTCTGTTGTTGTTGTTGCTGTTGGTGGTGCTGCCCAGGAATCTTCATCACCTCTGTTTTCTCTATGTTCACCTGAAGTCCTTCCTATCTTTGATGCTTCTTCTGCCGACTTTTTGCTTTTCACTTGCATATCTTCCAGTTTGTGGGAAATCAGACATATATTGCCGGCGAAGTTCAGATCCTCCAAGTTGTTTTTGTGTGATTCGATTGTATGCCTGTTTCCTCATTGCCCACTGACTGTCGCATTATCCAGTCTACTGCAATCAGGAAAATCATTGGTGATAGTAGACAGCCAGCCAGGTTGTCTTACTCCTGTCCTCACTTCTTAGAACGATTCCGTAAGTTTCCCGTTGTGGATTACTTGGCATACAGCATTATCGCACAGCCACCATAACTACACTATGATTATGAATTCTATGTAAACCCTTAGATATCCCTTTCGTATGCCTTTAAATTCTACATTGATCATATTAGGATTACTACTAAACCTTTTCTAATATGTCTTTATCAATTTCAAATAAATTCTGCTCAGTTCTACAGCCACAGGAATTCCAAGAGCGGAGCATTGAAAATGGATCCAGACGGACCCAAGGCGGTTATCCTCAGGTGTCATTATTGCATAAAGTTTGTCTGCTGATAAGAAGAAAGGCTATCCTGTCAAACTGCCAGAATTGGGCAACTCAAGCTTATGCAAAGACTGGGGCGGAACCATGCTCCTGTCTCCTCCAAATCGCTAAGTCGCTAAGTCGCATCATCCTAGAGAGAAACTGAAAGATGCTCCGACTGAAACAAGCTAGATTCGGGGAAGGCAAATCAATTTAGGATCAATAAAAAAAGAAAAAAGTAGTTTTCATTGGATAGAAATGTCATCATACAGAAGGTGTGAAAGTGAAATAATAACAATTTGCTTTATTCCAAAACAGTACTTGTGAAACAGAATGGAATTCTCAGAATTCTTTTTACTACAGTATTGCATCCAGTTAGTACATTATCAATAAATAGAATTCTACATAGATTAAGGAAATCTCAGTTCATTATGACAACAACACATTGGCATGTCGGTAGCAAAGGTAAAGTTGAACAGTGTTTGAAGGTGTTAGAAAAGTAGGAGCTGTCATATTTACTGGTGTAAGCGAGAGAAAGAAACAAAGCAGCACATAACGGAAAATGAAAAAGAGAGGGAGAGAAAAGGAAAAGAAAGAAAGAAAATGTTGTACCTATAAATGATATGAGTTAGAAAGACGAGGTCCAGTTGTACTACTGGCTATTTAATGAATTATTGGTGTCACGCTTGATGCTTTCTTTATGACACAGAACACTGGCTAAGTAGGGTATGGTTGAGTTTTTGTACTTGCTAGTGTGAGCATATAGTTTTCTATATAGGCTTCTGGTTTTGCTTGATGAGATACAAGGGGAGAGTTGTGAGTGAAGAGGGTGGTGTGAGTTAGATAAAATGGATTTGGCCCATTTTTCACATGAGTCCAAGTGCCTGCCTGTCGACCAGAATATTAATAAGCTGGTTAAGTGGCACATTGCTTACCCTGCTGACAACCTTTAACACCCTACGTAATAAGATATAGTCTTTCTTCAGTAGCCCGGGAACAATAAAGTATAATAGGCAGAATGCGAGAATTGACAAATTGTAGGAGTAAGGGTTGGGTTATACCAGAATGTCTTAACTTCTTGATGTAGAAAGTAAGACGGAATATTTTCTTAGAAATCGCTAAGATATGAGACGACCAGGAAAGATCAGCAGATAGAATGACGCCTAGGTATTTAATTTCCGACTTGGTTTCTATTTCAGTGCCATCTATGTTGCATACTTCGTGAGAGCCAACCAGTTTGTTTAGGTCGGATTTATGCGTGAAGGTGAAATTGACTGTTTGGCATTTGGAGGGGTTTAAGGTAAGACCGTTTTCCTTGGACCACTGGCCGATTTTTGATAGAAAGCCATTAAGTTTAGAGCAGTCACTTTGTCATTTAACAGGAAAAGATACTGTCACGTCGTCAGCATATTTGACAAAATTAATGTCATTTGAAGATGGTAAGTCATGCAGAAAGAAAGAAAAGAGAAGTGGGGAAAGTACAGCACCTTGGGGGACACCAGTTTCAGTGAGCACAGCAGAGGAGGATTTACCTTTATATACAGTGTACTGCATTCCGTTTGAGAAATAGGAATGCAACCAGTTTGTGACCCAGGACTCAGTTTGTGTCATCGAGAGCTTATTTAGCAAGAGACATTTAGGTACAGAGTAGAAAGCAGAAGTGAAGTCGAGAAACGTGCAGCGGACATATTTGGCACCTTCATCTAATGATGAGACGATACTGTTGTGTAAGATGGCCTCAGCGTCTAAAGTGCTCCTACCCTTTCTATAGGCAAATTGTTTGGGGTCTTCGAAGTTTTTAAGGGAGGGTGCGGTGCTACTCAGCATTATCATCAAACGAGGCACTGGGTGACAGTCAAAACTGTATAACTTGACTTCTCTGATTTTTGAAAAGCCTTCGATAGTGTTGACCGTGAAGAAGTTCGGAAACCGATTCAACATTGTAGAGTGTTCCAAACATCTATGAACTTCATCCGGCAGCTCTATGATCATGCCTAATGTCTTTCAAATGAAGACAGGAGTAAGACTATCACTGATGATATTGTTGAGTGTGATGCTCTAGATCATATTGAGGACAGGCATATGTTAGGCCATCGAGAAGACTCTAAGAGATCTGGGCTTCCTGAAAGATTTGTGTTTAACGATACATAAACTCGAAGGTCTGTAGACAGAAACCAACAATTTCGTAGAAGATGTAATGAAGACAGGGCTTCAGGTGATTATTATTATTGTTCCCTTGGGTTCCTAGTGGAACAAAGGGCTTCAACTGCACGTCTCCACTTGCTTCTGTCTTCTGCTGTACTTTTCACCTCCATCCATGTTAGTCCATACTGTTTCAACTCCTCTTCACACCATCTCCTCCACATCACCCTTGGACGTCCCACCCAGCGGCCTCCTCAGCGAGTGTCCAATCCATACACACTTTCTCCTGCATATTTGTTGGACGATTGGTTCTTGTTTCGTTTGTTTGTTCCCATATTTTCTTGTTGGTGATTCTTGTTCTTTCCGGCCATCTGATCTTCAGTATAGAGCAAAGACAGCTGTTTTGATGAAGCTGTGCAACAGGCTGTTGGAAATACTCATTCTTTGTGACCCGCCAAGTTTCAGATCCATCCGTATAGAAGAACTGACTGACTTGACGTTTGTATTGAAAATTCGAATTTTGTTGTTGAGTGACGAAGATTTCCAGATTGGTTTCAGGTTGATGAACGTGTTTCTCGCCTTCCTGATTCTCGATTTGACATCTTCGTCCGTTCCTCGTGTAGTTGAGACAATGCTCCCTAGCTGGATAAGTGAATAAAGTAACCTCTTTCAAATCCCTCCCGTTGATGGTGATTGGCGGCGCTGGACGTTGCTGCTGCTGTTGTTGTTGTCGGTTGGTTATTTTCACAACCTCCTTGTTGTCTATGTTCACCTGGAATCCTGTCTTTGCTGCTTCTTCGACCAGTTTGTTGGTTTTCGCTTGTAAGTAAGTCTTCGATTTTGTGTGACATCAAACATAAATCATCTACGCGCGAAATCCAGGTCTTCTAGATTCTTCACGTCGGTCGTTGTATACGTGTGCGTCTGTTTAGTCGCACCTTGAAAATGAGATAAGGTTTAAGTAATAAATTTAGGTGGAGAGTGAGGCTAATCACAGGATATGTGTCCATCGGATGACTACACCAAATATATAATCAAAAGGCAATGCTGTCATTATCCTGAAGGAGATTGGTTCCCACTGCATGAGAGCTTTGGCTGCTGTTGGTGACGCCATGATGGCCACTCCTTCGGTGTGGTCGTGGTTGTCCTCTGGGTAACCGGAGTAGATTATTGTCTCTCCAATTGGTAGTTGGCTCTGCTCTCGCAGATTCCCAACACTTCTATTTTATATCTTCTCATTTCTGCGGCTACCTGGGCAGCCTTTCCAGTTTCGTACATTGTACGAATATTCCACGTCCCCATCCTTATTTTTGCTTTCATCGAAAGAAGGCACATCGGCTGACTGGCTTCCCGAAGGCTTTCACCAGCCTGCATCATTTCACTTCCCTGATTCCAGCGAAAAATAAGGTTATTGTTTATATTTTCAGAATTTTTAATATATTTGTGCGTTGAAGTTTTAGTAGCAATTTGGTTAAGTTTTGGGGGTGGAGTTGCTAGCACCACGCCCCAACCCTCCCTCTTTATCCGGGCTTGGGACCGGCTAGAAAACTAGTGAGCTAGTAATCTAGGCGAGGTTGGGCTTCAGGTGAGCATAGAAAAATATTTGATGAAGATAACCAACCAATCAGCAACAGCAAGCGCCAATCACTATCACCAGAAGAGATTTGATAGACACCACTTCTTTCAATGAAATGGGCGGCACCGTTTCAGCTGCAGGTCGCACGTATGAAGTTGTCATAGACAGGATCGGAAGGTCAAGACACACACCTTCACCACCCTAAAATCAGTGTGTAAATCTGTTGCACTTGGCTTTGGTGATAGAGATGCGGAACCTCAACGTCAATGTCAAGTCAATGCTTCTGCATGATCCTGAGACATTCATCTCCAGCAGACTGTAGACTTTCATCAACAGTTTCCTTTGTCGGCTTAATGCTGAAGACCAAATAACAGATCAGGAAGGATAAGGAACAAAGAACTGTCTGTGGTAGGCGGTGAACCAACCAAGATCCTGTCGTCCGATGAAATTGTAGAAAAGTAAATGGAGACAAATGGAACATGCCCTGAGGAGACCACTGGGTAACAGACACCATATGCCATGTGCTCTCGAGTGGAACCCGGATTGAGCCTCCTCCTAGTGTGTGACATAGAGGAGATCTCATATGAAGAGGAGATAAGAGCTTCTGGGCAACTGTTGAGTCAGAATGTTGAGTGTTGGTAAAACCGTATGCTGAACTCGACACCCGAAGGATTAATAATAATAATAAAATCCCTCTCCTTATTTGTGTTGCTAATGACAATTATTATACTGTGAACCTGGACACATTATGTAGCATCCTTCTCTTTAAAACACTTATATTAAACTTATAAAGCACTGCTACCGTCGGTGGCGTAGCGGTTAGGACTCTCGCCGACCATGCACATGGTCCGGGGTTCGATTCCCGGCCACGGACGCACTCTTTCACCTCGCTGAGCAAATATCAAAAAATGCTGGTAAATAAGAAAGGTTGAGCATGAGGCTAGCTAGCGCATCCTGTAAAAATAAACACCACTGCTACAGAAACTTCAAGCGTCGAGCTTGAAGGCGCCCTATGTTACACTGGGAACGTGAAGGAATAAAAATAAATAAATAAATAAAGCCCTGCTGACATCATACACTTACCAGTTCGTCGAATATATCACGTTGATGTACATGAATGGTAATCAAGGTTTCATATTTTGTTCGCATTGTTTGACTAAGATCACGTGTTGTCTCGTGAATTAATTTATTTAAAATTTCCAAGAAATGCTTATTCGTTTTTGACATAATTTTCGGATCATCTCTAGCCATATTTAGTGCATCTGTGGAATCACTTGTCCATAAAATTTGTATACCTAATATACCAATTTGTGCTAGTTGATTATCAAAGAATTCGGTTAAATCAACGCCAGGATCAATTATTTCATAATATGCTTTACGTATCAAGTCATGCAGAGATGCTTGACTAAAACGTAGTAGAACATTTAACCAGTGTTCAACATGTCCTTCACATTTGACTGGCTTTCTCATCTGAAATATAATATATATATATATATAATATATAATATATATAATATAAATGAAGATGTGAAATAATAAAAGACAAAATAATACAATTAGTAAAACTGAAATCAAGAAAGATTACTCGCATTGTAGATTTAATGAATGAACGAATTTCCTTTGTATGCAGAGTCCAGGATTTAGCAGATGAATTGCCATTGCTTCTGAGATGTGGAGAAGTTTGACCCGTACACTTTTAGCAAGATTGCCTTGTATTCTGTAGACAACTTTGAAGTTTATTTCTGGTTTGACTTGGTGTCTAGAGTCGATCAAATGTTCAAGGATCGAGCTGAGGGGGCATCGGTCTTCTCCTTTATAAAACCATGAAGGTAAATGTTCGATTAACTTACTTATTTTCAACTGTATTATTCTCTACCCCTAACCTTATTTAATTTTAACCACCACTCATTAACACTGTTGCCAACCTGACCTACTCTGAATTCTACTCAATTGTTTTACGTCAGCCAATTCACTTAATCAATTCTATTTTATTTTCTATCTTAACGTTTGTTTCCAAGCCAAATAATACTTATATTACATAATTATCTAAACTTTATAAATCTAATGTACACACACACACATGAACAAAATTGTATAAATATGCGATTGTACAGCTCAGTGAATGAATTCGCCGAAAAGAGTCTCTTCGCTGAACGCCCTCCTTTCTTTTATATGACTGAATGGAGATTTTCAAGTTACTTCCTGATTAGTTTATCAGGGAAATTATCAAGTTTCAAAACTTCTCTGACATGTCCCACTTCCTGTCTTAGATTTTCCTAGGTGCTGCTTATTTTCTTTGCCCTATTCATTAAACATTTCACCGGTCCTATTTTTACTGACATAGGGCGGGATGATCTGAAATCCAAATATCGATTCCAATGTGTGGGTATTCTGTAAGTCTGATATAACAGGATGGAGGGAGGGACAGATTGATAACGGAGGCTTAATTTATCGAATCAACTGAGAGGGAATACGTGTATAATGAATGACTCAACACCTATCCACCCAGGCATCTGGGAAAATTCTACTACCCCTTAGACGACCAATACCAAAGAATACAGAAAAGTATAAGACGAAAGTTTCGAAGTTAATAATCATAATAATAATAATCACTTTATTCCACAACAATAACAATTTACAGCATGGAATTTTCAGCGTTTCTTTTACATATTGCAATGGTTTAGCTCTGTTTATAATTATATATAAATGTATAAAATGTTAAAATATATTGATAGTTAATAGGAAAAAATAAAAACCCCAACAAAATCACACCATTGCTAGGTCATAGTGAATAATAAATAAATAATATAACAAATAACACATGCATTAATATGCATCATTACATTTTATAGTTTAGTTAATGATTTAAAAGTTGTAAAAGTTATTTTCTGATATTCATCTCTTCACACAATACTCGTGCCAAATATGGTACGGTCGAATTTTTATATTTTGTAGTACGAGCATAAATGTTTGTGAAATTTCTTCTGGTCTTACCCGAAGAGATACAAGGAAACAAATGTGAATAAAGAGGATGTTCACTATCAGACAAGATAGCTTTAGCTAAGTGTTTACAAGAATTCATATGCCTATTGACAACAGTTTCGGTTAGTTGAGTCAAGGGGATAGCACTGACCCTACTTACAGCCTTCAATGTTCTTCGTGGTATTATATGATCTTTCTTGAGTAGCCCAGGGAAGAATAATGAAGAACAATAAAGAATGATGGGCAAAACACATGAATTAATAAATTGTATGAGAAGAGATTGGGTTATACCTGAGTGCCTCAACTTCTTTATTTAATAAGTCAGACAGAAAATCTTTTTAGAAACTATAAGAATATGACACGACCAGCAAATGTTTGAAGAGAAACTAATGTCAAGATAAGAAACACTTGACTTACTCTCTATCATGGCACCATCAATATTACAACAATCATGAGATTGGATCAATCCATGCATGTCTTTTTCACTTCTCAAGCTGAAATCAACGCTAGTGAAAAATTCACGCAAGGGTTCTGTTCTACAGATAAATCACCGTTTCTATGATTATGTTAATATGCTTCAAAAATGAAAGGTCCCTAAGATAGAAAAAGTTCTACAGTTGGGAAAGCCCCCAGTAAACAACCTGGTATGGCCGAGGGTTGTTAGACTGTGGAATTCCTTTCGAAATGCTCTCATGTCATTATGGGTTCATAGTCCCTGCCAGGTCATTCCTATTCACTGACTTCATGCGGCGAGGACATTCACTACAAAAGTGAAAGGGCAAATGCGAACGTCTGATGTTTACAAATATGTGGGGTGTACGCGGGCTTCATAATCTGAAAGGATTCAATGGCGTATGAACCTATTTTCTGATCACTGACAACACCACGGAAATGTCGCTGTGTGGGTCCATCTTTTAGTCAAAGGCTCGGAGATGGGAGGTGGTCCCTTTAAGACAATCATCTGCTTCGGTCTGGGGGATCCAAGTCATATCCCAGCCCTCACACTGATTTCTTAATACACAATTTATGATAATAGGTGTTATAAGTAATATAAGTGCATTCAGAGCAGAAAAGATAGACTTGACAGTCAATTTCTTATGAGTCCTAGTTTCTAATTACCTAGCATACATTCATCCCCTGTTTACCTACTCAATCATTAACTGCTTTTCAATAACTTCAGTACTTTTTGCGCCTACTGATGTGGAGAAGTGTAAATTTATGAAAGCTCTTCTGTTATTTAAAACAATTAGTCCCTTTATAAATGTGGATAGTGTTATTAAAAGACGGAGATTATCTCAAAATTGTGCTACACATTTTGAACAATCTGATGATAACACATTTACTTGTCAAGTCGATATATATGGTAAAAATAAAGGGCAGTTAAACTACACAAAGTGACAAAAAGGATTCAAGAATAACAAGAATACTTAATATAATGTTTGGTAATCCAATCAAATAAAGATTACCAAGGTAGTTTAAGAGTAATAATAAACTGTTTTTGAACATACACGGGGGGGGGAAGGCTTGGGTTTATGAATAGCTTTATAGACATGAATATACATTCAAATCCTCGGAAACGTAACTTATCATCCGCATCCAAGAAAATACTGTACATGTGAGCTTGGAATTCAAAGGTGACTTGGCCTCCGAAATCATGAAAAGAAGGATATCACAGTCGCTGTAAAGAACATTCCCTGCTACATCTTTGAGAATAGCCTTTACCAGTCGACCATCACCGCTCAATAACCTAAAAGACAAGGTCTGCCTGTTGACGAACTCTATAAGTGTTTATCAATTCACCTGCTTGTGTGGAGCTAGGTATATCAGTCGATCGACTCGAGTTTTGTCCAAGAGGGTGCAAGAATACTATCCTGCATGCTAGTTACGAAGAGTTGGAAGTGGAACAATAAGAAGCGCGATCATTGAACATCCGGTCAATAATGACCACCTAATGATCTCTATTGCCTCCGCCTTTAAAGTCATCTACAGGGCGAAAAGTAATTTGCCGAAATCACTACGTACACGACTCATCTGTATTGCTGAAGCAGCTTTGACCATTGAAACAGAAAAGCCAGATTTCTGTGTACAGAAAAACTGTTCGTTCAACCCCTCCTCTCCATCTTTCATGGTCTTAATCCCTCTATATGCTAAAGTATGGTAATCCCCAATCATATTTTGGCTCTACCAATTTTTTCATTTTGTCTATTCAATTTGTATTCTCTTCCTTTGTTACTATTACTTCCTTGTTACTATTACTATTCTCACTCGGAATTGTCCCCGGTATTATTCCACTTGTTCCACTTGTCATTCTAAATCAATTCTGTTTTGCAACGTTAAATTCTATGCTATCAAATTTCACACAATACCACGTGACGTTTTTACTTCATTCGATTTGCTTACTAATCCTATAACTGCACACCCTTCACCTACCAAATTCTATCCATCCTATGAATTATTCTATATATGTGACATTAATTGTTTTGCCACTTGACATTTAACTATGATTGTAATCACAAATATTTTAATTGCGTTTCATACTACTGTTATTATTATTTTATGCATTCACTCAGACCTATGATTCAATGCCCTGACCAGATATAACTTCTTAAAAACCATATATATATATATATATATATATATATATACGATTGTACAGTTTGATAATAAATTTGTTGTTGAAAAGAGTCTCTTCGCTGAATCACTTGTTTTGATTTCCTAAATACCTATAGTCTCACTGTATTTCAATAAGCGCCCTTGGCCATTTTTATAGATGACCTTAAGAGGTGTGTTCACATCAGTCTTATGGTTCATCTCGATTAGATGTTTGGTAATAGAAGAAGTTGGTAGTCTGCCACCTGCGTCTATTGGTTTTCCACAATTCATTTGTTTTTCTAACCATTTCGGCATATGTTCTCTCACCGTCACTTGCAAAGCACGGTTGCTCCTCCCTATGTATGTGTGTCTACACACACACACACACACACACACACGAAAATTGGTAAATAGCGTGGGATGTGACATAATCACTTGTGCACTTCTGAGGTTTGTAGTGGAGCATACTTTTGGCTTTTTCAATGATTACAATCCAGACTGCATAATAGGTCTAATGGATGACCGAATTTAACCTTTATCTCAAAATCCTACCGTTTATTTCCCCGTTATATGGTAATTTGATAAAAACCTTTTTCTTAGGGACTGTATGGATTGTAGGTTTACAGGCTAGTTGACTTCTACACCAGTTTAAAAATTTCAAAGGATATCCCCGTTTTCAACAAGAGTCTCCATCAACATTCCGTTTTCTTTGTCTATAACATCAGCAGTGCAAATACTCTGAATCCTCTTAAATAGACATTTCACCAAGCCTCTCTTATACTGTAATGGACAGAAGCTGTGAAAATTAAGGTATTGCCCTGTCCAAGTGGACTTTTTGTAAACTGATCATCTTATTGAACCATCATCTCTTCGACTCATATATATATATATATATA